TACTGTGATAAATCAAACATTACACTTTGTATCCGTATAAAAATGATGATTCCTGGGTGCGTCAGAATGAAATGTCATCCGATTCAATCCGAAGGCTGGAAGGCAGATTGTTCATGCTGCACTCTAGACACCCTGTTGCGGGCACAGAGCTCCGGAGAGCAAGCACTTTGCATGTTGTAACAAAAGGAGTGAAGAAACTTTGTCTAATTCAGCTGAGAGGCATAAAATTGCTGGATTACAGCCAGGGACTTTCATTAAATACCCATGAGGTGAAATGTGGTGCGTGATGTAGTTGTTGTTGTTTGTTGTTTCACACACTAATACTGCGGGGAATTTGCTGGTGCTATGAGGGTGAATTCCTGCTGGTTTAATTCCATCCTGCAGTTCCACTTCTCCCAGTGCCACGGTGAGATCCATATTTTCTTTTGATCATTGTTGATGCTTTAACGTTAAACTAGGTCCATGTCTTGGCAGCTTTGTTAAGGGAACAGATTGTGCTTCAAAAAATGGCAGAGTTTCAAAATATTGTATTCTCTTAAGAAAGACAAGGAAAATAAACTCAAAACATGCAGAATATATTTCAGCAGAAGGCGGAAAGGCTTTTAATATTTATTTGGGTTTGGTATTTTGCTACTTTGTTCTTCCTTTGACACCACTTGTGAACCAAGATAAGATTAAATTCTGTACAGTCTGTTATGGTTCATGCTCAAATTAGGTTGATTTCCAATGGGTTAATTTCCATCCCTTCAGAACTGCCTAAAATATACTATGCTGAGATATTGGTACAGCATGTGTGATTCTGCAAGTAAATTAATGCAGGAAACAAAAAACAAAAATGGGTAAGAATCTGTGCTTGTTTTCACTTTTAGGTAGACCATTTGTGAGTGTTTTTGCAGCAGCAGGGGCTAGGATAGAGTGTTTCTCGATGACCGGTCTGTGAACTGGTGCCAGCCCCTGAGATCTCCCTGACGCAGTTTAGGAAGGCAGCAAGCCAGTCCCTGGTATCAAAAAGCTTGAGAAACACTGGGATAGACGATCAAGATGAAGACGAAGTAGCAAACCAGAAGAGGACAGATGGTCTTATGGTTAGGGCCCTACCAAATTCACAGTCCATTTTGGTCAATTTTATGGTCATAGGATTTAAAAAATAGTAAATTTCATGATTTCAGCTATTTAAATCTGAAATTTCACAGTGTTGTAATTACAGAGGTCCTGACCCCAAAAGGAGTTGGCGGGGGCGGGGGGGTCACAAGGTTATTGTAGGGGGCATTGTAGTACTGTTACCCTTTCTTCTGCACTGCTGCTGGCTGGGTGCTGCCTTCAGAGCTGGGCGCCTGGCCACCAGTCGCCACTTTCCAGCCGCCGAGCGCAGAAGCAAGGGTGTCAATACTGCAACCCCTCTAAAATAACCTTGTGGCCCTCCTGCAACTCCCTTTTGGGTCAGGACCCCCAATTTGAGAAACGCTGGTCTCCCCATGAAATCTGTATCCTATGGGATAAAAGCACGCAAAAGACCAGATGTCATGGTGGGGGAGACCAGATTTCACAATCCGTGATGCATTTTTCATGGCCGCGTATTTGGTAGGGCCCTGCTTATGGTTAAGAGGCTGAGATGGGACTGTGGAGTACTGGGTCCAGTTCCTCAGTGTCCCATAGACTCCTTCTATCACCTGGGGCAAATCGCCTCGTTTCAGTTCCCTATCTGTATTATGGGGATGGAAAACTAGGATTCTTATACTCTTTGTCTTTGGAGCCAAGCTTCCTCTTCCCCCACCATTAGCACCTTTCACAACGGAATATTAAGAGGCAGTCCCTGCCCCAAAGAGCTTCCAATCTAAATGGAGACCATAGACAGTCACGGACCCCATCAAAGTCAATGGGTGTGCCATGCAGGATGCATGGGGTTTCCCTGGTTGCATGCTTAGGGGCTAGGATAGAGGTTGCAGGCTGTGTCAGAGAGCCAGTGAGAGGAATTGTGAGGATGATCTAAGAGGAAGCAGAGAGACAGGGCTTTTTGGGCACTGAGCTTGCTGGAGTGGCAGGCTTGGAGATTTCTGAGGAAGGAAACTGCTGGTTGCTGTTTGTATCTCCTGTGTTCAAGGAAACAGGACTCTATACATTTTTTTTTTGGGGTAAATAAACAAGATTACACCAAAAGTATACCTGACTCCTCTTACTGATTCGTCAGCCTAATGGAAATAACCTATAAGAGCCTGAATTTTGGCTAACCACTCCAGCTGACGAGGCAACAATATGTACAGTGCCTAGCACGGCCCCAATCTTAGTTGGACCCTCTAGCTCAGGGGTGGCCAACCTGAGCCTGAGAAGGAGCCAGAATTTACCAATGTACATTGCCAAAGAGCCACAGTAATACGTCAGCAGCCCCGCATCAGCTCCCCCACACCCCGCTCCCAGCGCCTCCCACCCACCGGCAGCCCTGCCGATCATCGCCTCCCCCTCCCTCCCGATCAGCGGTTTCGTGGCACGCAGGAGGCTGTGGGGGAAGGGAGGGGAAGGAGCGAGGGCACCTCGGGCTCAGGGGAGGGGGCGGGAAGGGGTGGAGTGGGGGCAGGGCCTGTGGCAGAGCCAGGGGTTGAGCAGTGAGCACCCCCTGGCACGTTGGAAAGTTGGCACCCGTAGCTCCAGCCCTGGAGCCTATACAAGGAGCCACATATTAACCTCTGAAGAGCCTCATGTGGCTCCGGAGGTTGGCCACCCCTGCGCTAGCTGCTATTATAATACTAAGAAGACCAGAGATGTAATGAGCAGGGGTACTCTGCTAGGGTTACCGTATGTCCATATTTTCCAGGACATGTCCGGCTTTGTGGTTCTTAAATCGCCGTCCGGGAGGAATTTTTAAATATCTAAAAATGTCCGGGATTTTGCCATTATTATTTTTCCCCAAAGATGAGTTGATCAATCACGAAAGAGAGCAGGAGGACTTGTGGCACCTTAGAGACTAACACATTTATTGGAGCATAAGCTTTCGTGAGCTACAGCTCACTTCATCGGATGCATAGAATAGAACATGTAGGAAGAAGATAGATAGATTAGATACATACATACATACAGAGAACATGAAAAGGTGGAGTCAGAGGCTAATTAATGAAGATGAGCTATTATGAGCAGGAGGAAAAAAAACTTTTGTAGTGATAGTCAAGATGGCCCATTAGACAGTTTGACAAGAAGGTGTGAGGATACTTAACATGGGGAAATAGATTCAGTATGTGTAATGACCCAGCCACTCCCGGTCGAATATCCACGGCTGCTACTCTGAAACCAGTCTCTGTTCAAACACCTTCCCCTGGCCCCCATGGAGTGTCCTTCTTTTTTTTCTTTTTTTTTTTTTTTGAATGTTCAAATATGGTAACCCTAACTCTGCTAATCTAATTACAGAAGCGTCTGCCTTTGTTTTTACCATTTTCCGTCTTCCTTATAGACCAACTGATGTCTCTTGGGAAATTTTTGAAAACTATTCATTATTATTCTCAATAATCTCTCTCTCTCTTAAGCTGTTCTGCTGGGTCTTGTCTTCTGTTTGCTTTTTTCTATTTCGACTTGAAGCTCTGTGGAACAGAGAACATGTCCTTTTCAAATGCAAGTTTGTAGTATTGTTTTTTAATTAATAATAATAATAATAAATAATATAAAGCAAGATATGTGCAATAGTTTCCAAGTAAATGTTTTTTCCATGAGGCTGCATTGCAGCCATCTGCCACATGCTGGAATGGCCTGTGGCAAACTGAGCAGGCTTGATCTTGTGTGTTCAAGCTGAGAAGAAAAAGATCTACAGTTAAAAAGTTGACTAGTTGCTTTAAAAGGGTCATTTTCAGTTCTGTGGGCATGCATCGTAACCCAGTGGCCCCTGCAGCCCTGGAATGCACAGATATTTATAGTCCTGCGTGTCAGAGCATGATGGTAGGGTGCGTCATAGGAAAATAAACTGAAACACGTATAAGTAAAAGGCTGAAAGTGTCGTGAACAGGGAGAGACACAGAGGTTTGAAAAAGTACAGTAATTGATGTAAATTGTTAGGTTAAAAAAAGTCTAAATTAGGTGGCTGCTTTTTTGGGACCCAGTGTTTTATAACACACCCAAGCTGCATCTGTATGTTTATCCTGGGGGTTTGGTGACATGACTTATGTTCCCAGGTTATTTTGTCCCTGGATTCAGAACCTTGCTCTGAAATGTGACTATATGTTTAGCAATGGAAAGGTTCTCATATTGCCCTAGTCCACTGGACTGTGTCACCCTCTGGTTTGGAACCCAATTACTCTAGGGTGAACTGCTTTAGAACTTGGTTTTAATTCTGTTCATGTTAACTCACTTTAAGAAAGGTTTAGCTAGCCAATGTGAACAAATACTGTTGTATATTTCGAGCCTAATTCTGCTCTAATTTTTGCTGATTTTACATAGCTACATTGACTTCAGTGCTTAATCCTGGTTGACACTCGTGTAAATGGCCCAGACGCTCAAAGGTATTAAGGTGCCTAAGTCCCATTGATTTCAAGGATCTGGGCCTATAAGATCAGAATTTGGCCCTATATTGTCAAACTCTGTTTAAAAAGATTCTATCCTTGCTTGCACAAGGTAAATAGGTATTTACACCCGGTATATTGGAACTGGTTTCAGTCTGAATTGAATCAGTTCAGGAAACATGGGAGCCAGTGTAGATAGGGCTTAAAAAGATGAGATGCCTTTCCCCTCTGCACTTTCACGAGGGCTTCGGTTGCCTGAGCTGTCGCCTGCATTCTGTGCTTGCGTGGGAGCTAGAACTGCCGGCCTGGTCACAGCTGGCTGAACAAAGGAACTTTATATTTTGAACTCTGTGCCCTGAATCTGCACCACCAGACTGAGCTGGTGTTTCTGTTAAATAAGGTCAGCCATGGTAGACAAACTGTGTTTTACAATTATAACCACAGAGGTTAACACCCCACCGCCTCCTTCACCCCCACATGGAAATCATCTCTCTTTCCTTCTGCCTCTTTCTTGTTTCACAGGCAAGAAGAGAAACCCTGGGCTGAAAATTCCTAAAGAAGCGTTTGAACAGCCACAGACAAGCTCTACGTAAGTCTCAAAAAACTTAGGGTTTATAAACACCCCCCCCCACACACACACAGTTAATTTTCTCTTTCATGTACTGCTTTGTCGCGTGTCTCAGTCAAAAGAACAAAAGGGGGTCTTATTTTAGCTGATGGTGTCACTTCTTTTGCGTGAATGAGTTAATAGATTCAGAAGGGACCATTGTGACGTGCTGCATAACATGAGCCAGAGAACCTCCCCAAAATAGTTAAGACAAGCTTTTAAAATAACCCCCCCAAATCAACACACTCAGAAGAGAGAGCCCGGTATTATTAGGGTGCCGTTTGCTGCACAGGGCAAGCCCTGCAGCTAAGGGTTGCTTGGCTTTATCAGCCTCCTTGAAGGTTAACGTTGATTATTAAAGCAGCAGCACCCACCATCCTGTATGGCTTGGGTATCTATTTGCATTGGCAGGTCTGCTCAGCTGATAGGCATAAACGGAAACACACAACGTGATCTGATCCCATCCATCAGCCCCTTCCTCGTGCTCATTCTGCTAATCCTCTGAAGGGTGAGCCCCTGGGGGACTGATTTTAGACAAGTCAGAGACACAGATGTTTGGGAAACTACATGGGGGAGGGAAAGGAATAGGTACATGGGGGAGAAAGCCCTGGGCTATAAAGTGGCCAACAGCTGAAGGGATGTCACGTCTCCCCCAGAAATATGAAAATTGTGGCTGATGCTCTTGTGGTCGTTGGGAGAGTAATTTAGATTTAAGTTTCTCTTAAGAGAACCTGTATTGTCTACTTGCTTGGAACTGTTGCTACTATAATATCCCTGGAGCTGTCTCCTGGATGGTTTATATTCAATACATTTGCTGGTATAGTAATGTTGCTTAGAGATACCTGTGTGGGATGGTTTATTTTGTTTGGGGAACTGGTAAAAGATAGCCCAGCAAAAGTACTCTTTTACTGGTATGAGCTGCGTCTGTACTAGAAAATGTTTGCTAGTGTACATCTAGACTGGTATAGCTATAGTGGCAAACCTTTTCTAGCGTAGACAAATCCCCAGTCAAATCAGTAGACATCAGATACTGCGACTATGCACTGCCCTGTACTGTGTGCCCTCATATGGGAATAATTTTATGACATTGATGAGATTCCAGAAACAAATTAGTTTAAAAAAAAAAAAAAAAAAAAGCAAACAATCCAACTGGCTTTTTATTCAGAGCTTAATTCAACTGCCTGATCAAAGGAGCAGCCCTGGTATGCCCGGGGGGGGGGGGGGGGGGGGCAGCCTCTCAGCCAATTAGCACCTCATGTAGGCCACAGTGTAAAAAGATGGTATGAAGGCCTTGATTTGCCAGGGCAATTCTACTTGGGCTCCCCAAGCTTATGTACAAGCAGGAAGCCTGACTTTTTAAAGTGTGTGAGCCGTGGTTTTAATAAATTAAAGAAGTTAGGCAGCACCAGAAAGGAGAAATTTGAGAAATCTGTCTCTGGGCAGATATACCTGATGCCTTCCCTTCCCCGGAGGAGGAGCATTTTCTGAGAAAGAGAACCATCCCCCACCTTGTCTTAACTATTCCTGGAAAGGATTAGTGTAAGATAAATGACAGGTTTCAGAGTAGCAGCCGTGTTAGTCTGTATTCGCAAAAAGAAATACTAGTGGCACCTTAGAGACTAACCAATTTATTTGAGCATAAGCTTTCGTGAGCATCCGATGAAGTGAGCTGTAGCTCACGAAAGCTTATGCTCAGATAAATTGGCTAGTCTCTAAGGTGCCACAAGTACTCCTTTTCTTTGTAAGATAAATGAAGGCTGCTTCAGGTTCTCTGTAAATTGGATGGGGTTCCTGCAGAGACTGTGGAGGAATCAGAGCTGGGATTCCCTTTTTAGCTGCCTTTATTTGTATTCTTGCTGCCTTGTGGAATCCTAGATGGAGCAGGTTTCCCTTAGCAGGACTGTGGAGAGATGTAGCTTTGCTTAACGATCATTTTAGGGTAAGTGGGACCCTGCTAATTGACCTGCGTGGGGCCTTGGCGTTAATGGGCTGCTGTTTTGTACAGTGTTGGATGTGAACGCTAAATAAAGATGTCAAGGGGGTGACAAGATGTTAACCTTTTTGCCTGGAGGCAGGTAGTAAGCAGTTAGATGGGCTATCAATCCTTATGCTTTAGGACACAGAGTACATCTACACTCCAAAAACCCCCCTTGTCGCAGCAAGTCTCAGAGCCCAGGTCAGCTGACTTAGGCTCATGGGACTTGCTGTATGAGGCTAAAATTCACAGTGTAGACAGTTCCCATGTGGGCTGGATCCCGGTCTCTGAAACGGGAAAGGGGGTGGGTCTCAGAGCTCAGGCTCCAGCCCTTACATTGCTATTTTTAGCCCTGTCATGCAAGCCCCTTGAGCCTGAGTCAGTCGACCCAGCTTCTGCCGCTTGCTGCCGCTGGGTGTTTTTTGCAGTGTAGACGTACTCACACTGATCACCAACTCAGAGGCCAGGGGTATTTCACAGTTCGGTGGATTAGGGCTTACTGCTTTCTTCTGATTTTTGTTTAAAAGCTCTACTGGGGATGTTCCTTCATCAGGGGAAGGGGAGGAAGAAAACAACCTGCCAAAAAAATCAGCCATGTCCTACTGAAAAATATTTTCCCTTTCTAAATGGAGAAAAGTCCTGAACAAAAGCATCGGGTCCCAAACTCCTTTTAGCCCCAGGTGCGTTCGGGGACAAATGCAACTTCCGAGACAGAAGTGAAACTGGGCTTGCGTTTTTCCTCTCTGCCTGTTTAATCTGTCCTGTAAACTGGCTAAGGTGGATTTGCTTCTCTCTGCCTCTCTTGTGTGTCCCAGGAAGTGGTTCCAGTCCCAGCCTCTCAAAGGGAGTACTCTGTTTGAATTCCTTGGCGCTGGAATTGGACGCAGGCTTGTGAAATTCCAACTCCAGCAACTTCCTTCCCGACACCTTTTGGGGTGACTTTGTGAACCATGGCAACATCTAATAGCACTGAAAGGCTAGGAAGCTAGCTCGGCTACTCTGGGTGACACTGCTGCATATACTGCATCGGGCTGCCGTCCCGTCAGTTTGAGGGGAACTTACACCCAGACCTCCCATTACTGAGTCCCATATCCACAGGGCAATAGCCCCTGGACTAGGGGCTCTGAAAGGCTTTGTCTCTTTGGAATATTATCTGTGTAAGGTCTCTGTGACTGATGCTTTCTGCATACTATTTTGTTCTTTCTCTTCCACAGGCCCCCTCGAGATTTAGATTCCAAAGCCTGCATCTCTATTGGCGAGAAGGTACAGTTACAAGCTATGGCAACCAAAGACTTCATATGTGTTTGCGTACACAGGGTCAGGAACTAAGTTAGGGGAGCGTGTTTAGAAAAATAATTCCTGGCTCTTGTGTGGGAGGGGTGCGACGATCTGAACGTGGAGGAGGATTGAAATCGGGTTTAGGGCAGGGCTTCCTGGCCATTTTTAAGCATAAAACCACTGATGTTTTCTGTCAGTACTCCCTAAATTATGTGTTTCTCCATTTCTTAGCATCTTTTGTGCTTTATCAGCTAATTCCGCTCCCCCTCCAAAAAAGAGAGACTGTTCTGGTGCATAATATGTATATTATCTTATGTTCATTGTGCCACTGTGTTAAAAGTTTATGTTCAATGCATAGAAATGGGATCATTATACATTTTAAAAGCCATCTCCAGAAAGTATTGTTTATCCATTCAGACTAAAAGTTTGTGGATTACATACTCTCTAGTGCCGTATCTTCAGTAAAATTGTTAACTGGAGAAATGGGTAGAAATGCATATTACATATTTGTTTATAAGTGTGTGACAAAAAATAGCTCAGATCGTTCAGTGTATTGAAATTATAGCACAAGGGATTATATGCATGTGTGTGAAGGGATATATGTCCATCCTAAATCTGTTTTCTAGGAGCTGTAAAATTTTCTACAGAATGAAAGCTTTCATTATATATCTCTCTGGTTTAGAGGATGGAGGTAGGTTCATGGTGGTGGTTTCCTTACACATATGTGTTTGGCAAAACGAGAGTAAAATTGTAAAGTCTTTGGGTCAGGGACAGCCTCTTTGTTCTATATTTTGTACAGCGCCTTGCACAATGGGGTCCTGGTTCATGACTTGGGCTCCTAGGCATTATCACAAATTCCCAGTGCAAATCATTATAATTATTATTATAATACAAACCAGGCTGTGCAGTTACAGTGGATACCAGCATGCTTCTAGAGTTTTTTAAGCAGGAGGTCATAAGCCAAGCACCCTCAAGCACCTTTACGATCGGTGTCCCCTTTAGCACTGCAGCCTCTCAGCCGGTTTTAGTTCTTGTCTAAGGTTATTTTCCCCCTTCCTAGGTTTTGATGAAACAGCCCTGCCCCACGGATGCACAGGGATGAGAAGTGTGCTGTCATGCTCATAGCTTGGCTGCTTTAGCTAGGCTGTAGCCAACAGGGACTTGGTCCCAGTCCAGAGCATCCGATGAAGTGAGCTGTAGCTCACGAAAGCTCATGCTCAAATAAATTGGTTAGTCTCTAAGGTGCCACAAGTCCTCCTGTTCTTTTTGCAGATACAGACTAACACGGCTGCTACTCTGAAAACTAAACTGGCTAGTGAGTCTTCTTGACCCAGAATCCCACACAATCAGAACCCAGCCTACTCCCTTCTGGCCAGTGTCAGTGTCGCAGCTGAAACGTTTCCGTATCATTTAGAGAGGGATTAGCCGCAGCTCATCGAACCTGCGTCGGCCTGTATTCACCTAATCCGGAAGTGAGATCAAGGAGCGTGTGAGGGGTCTTTTGTGTCAGCACATCTGTTAAAAAGCAGCCAGGCTCAGAGCTCGCATATGAGACTGTCCAGCTCCTCCTGTGAGCAAAGCAGCTCTGCAAAGCCAGCCCAGGGGAATGGCCTAGCAAGAGGCCATCCATAGGAGCAAATCCTTCTGTGGAGAAGGCCTAAGAGGTGACTCCCATTTGGTGCTCCAGGGAATAACCCAGTTTAATGAGAGTGACCTCATTTCCCTCTGCGACACGTGCAACATCCTTTAACCCTTGCCTGGCTTTTACATAATGCCCCCAACACCCCACGCTTAATGGGATTAATAGTAACATGTAGTCAGGGGCAAGGTGTTGATTGCTAAACCCTGGGTAATGTTAGTAGTTTTCTTCCACTTCATTCTCCCACCACCAGGATCAATACAAGCCAAGAGGACGCAACCCGAGAAGTTTACTTTTTAGATGGTCTGTGTGAGCCGTGGTGGTCACTTCTAATAACTGGAGTATTTGCCCTAGTTTAGTCCCACCCACCTGCCTGGCCCTGAGCTATTGTTCGGTGTCCTTGCTACGAAAGCAAGCTCCTCCTTCAGTGGCGGAGTTAACACTTGTATCCTCAGCTAGTGGTCTTAGCACACAGGGCGCTGCCCAGCTCACACAGAGGTGGACATGGAGTTGAGGCAGGGTTTTAAAATTCTCTGGAACTGGATGCAGGCTGAGGGTTTTTCCCAGAAGATTTTTCCTGGATGAGTTTTCTGGGAGCTCAGGCCACTAGCAGTAACGCATGATCTTAACTCTGGTGATCCCAAAGACTTCAGAGCGTTCCTGGACAATGTCCTTGTGACTGGAGTCGATGACAGTAATTGGCTAGGATCGCCTGCTGCTGCTGGTCCTGATGTGGGATACTGAGTCAGGGCATTATGCGGACCTTATGGAGGGACTCTGCTTAGAATGCTGGCAAAGAACTAGATTGGCTGCTAGGAATCTCCATGTGCCTCATAAGTGTGACTGACCTGTTCATTAGCCTTTCATTTGTGGGGGTGGGGATCCTCCTTATTGGCATCGGATGCCCCCATTTCTCTTACATAGCCTCACCTTTAAGGCAGCCCTCCCTGCGTCAAACCACTGAGAACCAAATGGGCTCTTGCTTCTTCAATGGCCAGAAGCTGATTGCTCCTCTGTAAAATGTAATAGCCTCAGAACAGCCCTAGATACTGTTGACCCACGAGGTGGGACATAGGGGAGCTGTGATCAAGTATGTGCGTGTACAGGCGTGCATGAACACCTCAAAACTGAGCTGGGTAACAACTTGACCTGAGGCTCTTGGAAGCGGCCTGATCACCTTGTAAATGGCCATTTTCTCCTAGCTCTAGCTGGAGCAGAAAGTAGGGTTTGTTTTCTTTCCCCATTTTTCCTGCTTCCCCTTGGATACTGACTCATTCCTCAGGAACAATGTCCCTAGCTCCAGCTGAGGTGTGAACTTCCACTGTTTGTTGCTGGACTGTTAACTTCAAAGCCTAGTTCCTCCCCTCTCCCCAGACGCTATTAAACAGCTTCCCCAAGTGCTCGGCCTTGGCATTTCAGTGAGGGACACCTCTTCTGGCTTTCACTCTGAAGACACTTGACTGGTAGGCCTAATGGATGAGGGGAGAGAGAGCCCACTCTCCCCTCCTGAAATATAATCAAAGCCAACTCAGTCATCCCCAACAGCTTGCAGGGCTATAGCCTGGATTGTCAACCTGGGGGAGGGAAGAGATCACACAGGCTTCAGCGAGCTCTGACCACCTTCCCTGGCTGTGAGGAGGATCCCAAATCTTTTTTTTTGCTGTCAGAACATGGCATCGCTGAAATATTGCATTAAAAGTACGGTGTGGGTGTGTACCTCTACCAGCAGGAGGGCAGAATAGTATGCATCTGATGAAGTGAGCTGTAGCTCACGAAAGCTTATGCTCAAATAAATTGGTTAGTCTCTAAGGTGCCACAAGTACTCCTTTTCTTTTTGAGAATCAGTCTGGTCTACTGCTGACTTAACCTGCCGTCTGAAGTTTTTGACTCCTTTCTTACATTGGAGGCTTTTCTTCATCTGTGCTGCTACCATGAATTTATATGTCTAAGATTCTAACCAGCGCAGGTCAGCCTGTCCCCAAATCAGATTCCGAGGAAAACAAGGACAGAGTCCAGTTCCATTTGACATCGTAAATTTTTCCAGGAAAACAAGAACGTGCAACAGCTGTTTTTATTAGAGTAAATGTCCCAGGAGCTTTAATAAGAGCACAATAAATCCAGGCAATAAATTGGTTAGGACTATCTCTTGCCACTGAACATCAGCCAGTTAATTTATTAGGTGATGTATTAGGTCATTAGCATTTTACGATATCTGTCATTGGGCGTTTGTCTCTCTTTCAAGTTTGAATTTTTATTTTCCCTGGCATAGCACTGGGGCTGGGAGATGGAAAGGGGGGTGCGGGATCTGCAGGTCAGGGGCTGGGAGATGGAAAGGGGGTGCGGGATCTGCAGCTCAAGGGCTCAGCGTCAAGTCAAAGAAATACCTGCTGCTAAAGTGATCCCTTGTTCCAAGAAAAGCGGTTCACATCCACAATCCCAAGAAAGAGGGAGAGAATTCCAAAAGGAGCTCTGCATGGAGGCAGAAAGACCGTGCTGGAAGGCGCAAAGAGGCAAGCGCTCATAAAATACAGAGCTCAAGCTTTTTTTTTTGAATATGGCGTCCCATGGAGGAGGGGGACTTGATGGGCTAGCAGTCAGTACCCTGGTAGGAATTAGCTGTCTCTGTCCCAGAATGCATTTGTCCTGCAAGGTTCCTTTAGGACATGATATCATCATGCTCCTGTTCCACAGGCTGTATTGTGTTCCCTAGAGTAGGCTACTTGTCCCTTTGCCTTTAACTTTGCTGCTAAATTTCAGAACGCTGCCTGAAAAAGAGACACAGGGCTCGTTTCGGAAGAGTTTGCATTAAACAGCAGGCACGGTGTTGGACAGAACAAGATGCTTGGATCCATGTTAACACAAAAAAAGCTAGTGAGGGCTGGTTTTACAGTAAATGTAATTGTGACCAAACAGCCCGCGTCCAAGGTGTGCGGTAACACAGTGCGTGCGCCCAAGCTCTCGGAACCCTCTCCGGGTAGCACTTTGCAGGCGGCAGATTTTCCGCGGCTCAGGTAGAAAGCGGTGTGGGATTATGTGCTGTGAATCAGTTCATTATAACCAGTCGCTTTCAGCAGGACGGTTGACTTCTGCGGTGGGGCGTTCAGCCGGCTTGAGCAGCGGAGACCTATTTCAAAACCCAGAAATAATAATGAGCAAAAATACAGCCAGTGCACAATAATGCGTCGAAAAGAAGAAGGGGCAGGGCAGAAGGCAGAGCTGAAAACAAAGTCGTCCTTTAGGCAAAGCCAAGAGAAAGCAATCGGTAACGCTAGACAAAATAAATCTACCGAGGTTTAAAGTGGCACTCTCAACTCCGATCTGGCCCCGATACAGGTTTGTAGACACAAGCTTTTCAAACCCTAAGACCATTTGGAAACACTTCCTTGGATTATTTTTTTAAAGACATTCCCATGGGAAGAGTTGTTTCAGCATTTTCCGGCAGCGTTTTCAATGACCATTGCAGCACTGAGAACCTGAAAGTGAAAACTGACTAAATGAAATGGGAACTGGCTTGATTTTCCTTGCCTAAAATTTAGGAAATATAACTGAAAAGGTTGGAAAGTCCATTCTTAAAACTGTTTCAGCTCCATGTGAGGTGCTGTTAGTCACACAGGTGAGGGCTGCACCACTGTAGTGATGTACCTCTTCTGGGGCCTAGCTAATCCTCACAGCACTCCTTGGGGGTTAGGGTCAGTATTCTTATCCTCATTTTACAGATAGGGAGACAGGCTAGAGAGGGGAAGGTCATCTGCCCAGTACCACCAGTGGGAGCTGGTGTTCAAGCAAGGCCTAGATCTTAGGAGTTCCTGACTTCCTTTATCACCCTGTCCATGGTGCCTTCAGTGAGGAAAACCGCTGCACCTGTTCTGTTGCCTTTGGCCTTTTTCACGGTGGTCTTTTCCTCCCACAGAACTTTGAAGTGAAGGCCGATGACCTGGAGCCGATCTCTGAACTGGGCCGAGGTGCTTACGGGGTGGTGGAGAAGATGCGGCACATGCCTAGCGCACAGATCATGGCGGTGAAGGTAGGGTGAGACTCCTAAGGTGTTTTCTATGTGTGTATGTGTGCTGACCCGTCAGGCTGTCCTCAACATAAGCTTCCACTCTTACCTTCACTCGAGTAGGCGTTAGTCTGACAAGGGACTTACTCTTTCCATGTGGAGGTGCTGAGATGGACAGGACATTAAGCCTAATTCAAGCCCAGATCTACACTTGGAAAAAAGGTGTGTTTTTCAAATGTGACCGCTGACATGTTCAAAAATCCTAGTGTAGACAGGGCAAGTTATTCATCTGCACACCTAGGACTTTAAAATGCCTTAGCTCTGGTGTTTTGAAAGTACACTTCTTTTCTTAGTGGAGATATACACTCTGGCTTACAGGAACTCCACGCTTAAAGTCATCCCGGTTAACGTTGTTTCGTTGTTACATTGCTGATCAATTAGGGAACATGCTCGTTTAAAGTTGTGCATTGCTCCCTTATAACGTTGTTTGGCAGCCTGCTTTGCAGGCTCCTTGCAGCGAGCTGGTTGAGGCTTGGAACCAGGGTGGACCGGCAGCCCCCCTATCAGCTCCCCACTCCCCTAAGTTCCCTGTGCAGCAGCCGCCCAGCAGGCTATCAAGGGCCTGCAGTTCAGCTGTCCCTCCCCCCTACTGCCCTGTGCTGCTCCTGTCCCCTGCCTTGGAGCTGCTCCCCTAGCCTCCTGCTTGCTGTGTGGGGGTGGGGAAGAGAGGGGCTAATGTCAGGGTGTCCCCCTCCCCCTTGCTCCTGCACCCCGCTTACCCCATCTCCATAGAGCAGGGGGACACAGGACAGGGCTCAGGATGTAAGGAGCTTCCTGGTGGCAGGTGCGGTCTCAGCTTGTTGATTAACTTAACAAGGCAGTGTACTTGAGTGGGTCAGCGTACTTAAAGGGGAAATGCCCACACACACACACACACACACACACACACGGTGTGTGTCTCTGTCTGCCATGCTGTCTCCCCTCCCTCCATTCCTGCTGCCTTGTAGAGTGTGAGGCTACATTAACAACGAGTTAACCCTTGCGGGCTCAGCCAATTGCTAGTTCATCATTTAGCAGTAAGGCATTCCCTGGGAAATATCCCACCCTCTGACTCCACCCCCTCAACCAAGCTTCACAATCATCATTGCTGTGTACAGTATTAAATTGTTTGTTTAAAATTTAGTGTGTGTGTGTGTGTGTGTATATATATATATACACACATACACACACACACACACATAGTGTCTTTTGTCTGGCAAAAAAAAATTTCCCTGGAACCTAACCCCCTCTATTTACATTAATTCTTATGGGGAAATGGGATTCGCTTAACATAGTTTCGCTTAAAGTCTCATTTTTCAGGAACATAACTACAACATTAAGTGAGGAGTTACTGTAGTTTGAAAACCAACTACAGCAGGTGTGAATTTGTCCCATTAAATTGGGAGGATCCATGTTTTGCACTGCAGGCCACTTAACAGGAGCCTAAGTGTCACATATAATTAAGAGCATCCACTTTTAATAGGCATGTGCAGACCATGGAGATTCCAGAAGACTTGTGGGTGGATGAAGATGCACCACATCATACAAGGAGATGCATTCTCCACAGGCTGTACGTCCCTATTAAGTGTAAGGGCCTTTCCTTTGGCCTCGGCCTCCCCCTGCGTTAGAACTTTAGGAAGAGGTGAATTTCTCTTACTGCAAACAGAACAAAAGGATGCAAGGAGTGTCTGTGTGCACTGTTTATGTATCCCGTCTCCAAATTTAACATGACATTTTTGGGGGGCAAATGGGGTAATCTTTGTTGTAACCCCTCTGACTGAGGCAGTAATTGCAATACACTCTGATCTGAGCCCTGTATTGTGAACTTTACCCATTTCCGTTCATATTAACCTACGTTCATTTTATTTTATCTTCGTCATCATTTCATGGGGTTGCTCCTCTGCATCTTTAGTAATCCATGGGTGGGTATGTATGTATTTATACACCCCCCCTGGCCCCAAGTAAATAGTACCTGTAATAAAAGTACCTTCAGGGACTTTTGGTAGTTGACAGCTCTTTAATCTATCAGAAAAAGGCATAACAAGACCCAGTGGTTGGTACCTGAAGTGGGACACGTTCAGATTAGAAATAAAGCCCAATTTTTTAACATTGTGGGGAATTAACCACTGGAATACTTGATGTAGGAATGTGATGGATTCTTCATCACTTTAAAGGCTTTTGATCATGACTGGATCTCATTCATGTAGATATGATCTACCTCAACCAGAAGTTAAGGGCTTGATCTAGAAATTACTCGTTTGCCTGTTATACAGAAGGTCAGACTAGATCATAACAGTCCCTTCTGACATTAAAATCTATAACTCTGAATATACATGCATATGAAGAGTGAGAGGGATACGTAGTATTGGGCAGTGTGTATACCACAATCAGAAGACCTGGGGCCTGATTCTCCTCACACTTACAAAGGGGCAGCAGACCCCCAGACCCTATGCCTCTGACACAGAACATCTGTTTTGCAAATGGTGATCATAGCAGAGCCAATTTGCTGCCACGGCGCCTCCTGCTGGGGATTAGCTCTCTTGGACCACCAGGGCGCCTTTTACTAGTGGTGTCTCACTCGCCATTACTTCCGCTTCCTCCACCGTCTACACCATCAGGATCTGCGTTGCTCCGGGACCACGGTGTCCTCTTGGGACATGGCCCTCCAGCTGTGCCCCAGCCCGCTGTCTCCCCCATTTCGGGGGACAGGCAGTCCTCAGTCCCTCCACTTGCCTCAGCGGCCAACTGCAGTCACTAGTCTAGCCCCTGGCTTTAGGGGCAAACTGCAGTCTGGATTTAGGCCACTCTCCTCATTAGCAAGTAGAGGTAAAGGGTGTATGTGTATGGGAAGGAAACCCAGGCCCACCTGCTACTCTGGGTCCCAGTCCAGGGACCCTATAGGTGGCAGCCACTTACTGCCCCTCTTCTTATTCCTGCTGCCTACTTTCCCTGGGCCACTTCCCCCATAGCCCTAGCACCTTCCCTGCCCTTGCTTCAGGGCCTCAGTCTGGCCATGGTCAGCCAAGAGCTCCCCTATTGCTCTGCTACCCTGCCCAGCACTGCAGTATCTTCGGTGCTCCTCAGCAGAACTTCCCCTTTGCTCTCCAGGAAGAGACTGCCCCTTGCTCCGCTGAGCAGCCCTTTATATATGGGCTGCTCCAGCAAACCTTCTCCTGATTGGCTGGGTTCTCTAAGGCTGCCTTAACCCTTCTCCTGCCTGTGTGGGCAGCTGCCCCACCACAGTGACTCTTCCAGCTTCATGTCTTCATGGCCTCTGATAAATGCAAGAAGCTCAGCATCTTCATCCAGCATCTGGACCTGCTAGCTTCAGAAAAGCACTCTGAATACCACCACTTGGAAGCAAAGAACCCCCTTGTTACCAGCTGTCACGAAGTTGCATTCTTTTCTTAAAGCTCCAGCTCCTGGGCTCATGAGATTATAGGAGAATTGCCACTTTCAATTTTTATTTTAAAATAAATTTCTAGCCTTCCTGGCTGTTGAGAAAAGCCTGAAAATGTAACCCCTAAAGGTTCTGGCACCAGAAGAGAAAACCCAGACATTAGTTTAAGAAATCTCATGCTTTTTAATGCAATCTCATGATTTTTGGAAGCTTGATTCATAATTTTTTAATCTTGGGGCTGGCAATACTGGGATCCACTTAGGGCTATTTAGTGCAGGGACCCTGTTAAGGTGACAAGATAGCAAGTGTAAAAAGTCAGGACAGGGAGTGAAGGGTAATAGGTGTCTGTATAAGAAAAAGCCCCCAAAATTGGGACTGCCCATATAAAATCGGGACATCTGGTCACCCTAGACCCTGTCAGGTTGATGATTTTGTTAAAGTCCTCTGTAAGAAAATTGTAGATTAAAATGGCAATAATTGTTAAACCATAATTTACTTTTTACTGTGCTCCGTTTTTCTGTGGGTTTCTCTTCGCTGGGACACTGAAAATATTGAAAAGTCAGTTTCACTCTTGTTTCTAGTCTCCTGGGGGCAAAACTGTGTTTTTGTTCTGTGTTTGTACAGCGCCTAGAGTAATGGGGACCTGGTCCATGACTGGAGCCCCTAGGTTCTACCACAATATGAATAAATAATAATAATAGTTAAAAAACAAACAAACCCCAAACTGTCTTGTAATTAAAGAAAAAAAGTGAGAACAGATGTGTTGTACATAAGTTTTCTAAAAGGCTATTTTTACAAAGCCTAAATCTTGGGCCAAATTTGAGCTGATATTTTCCTTTTAAAAAAAAAAGATGCAAGGCTGAAAGTAATGGGTGAAGTGAAACAAAACTCTTAGCTCATCAATACTGCCAAGAACACAGCAAAGCTTTTCCAGTATCTGTGGGACAAGGACTAGTCTTAAGGTACATCTACAATGCAGCTTGGAGGTGTAATTCCCAGCTTGGTTAGCCATACCCTTAGAGCCTGCATTCTGTACATTTTGTCTGTCCTCTTTGTTCTGGTGTCCACCAGGTTCCAAAAGCCCTCTGAAAATGGGTATGACTGGGGTTAGATAGGATGGTGGGAGCGTACAGATCTGTTACTTATTTTCTTCCTAGCTGCTCCACAGTGCTGAGCCATTTAATTCTATTATTAGGCTCCAGTGGCTTTGACCAAAGAGCCTAGAATATCTGCATCTGGTCCACGTTTAACTGTGTGAGCTTATAAAGCTATCCCAGCATCACAGGCACTTGCTGGCGGCTGTCACTGGGGCCTTCCCATGATGGAAGGAGAGAGAGAAAGAAAAAGAGATGAAGAAAGAGATGTTTCAATAACAATAATCCTTTGCCCTTCTATAGCAGCTCTCCTCCGAGGATCTGTCAGGGCTTCACAGACATAAATCCCACCTCACCCCTGTGGGGTAGGTAAGCCTGATTATCCCTGTTTTACCATGGCACAGAGAGGTTTAAAGACCAAATTTTCAAATGTCCCCTGTAGTTTTGGGTGCCTGATTTGAGACATCTGATAGACTTGTTTCAAGCCACAAAAGGAGTCATTGGGCAGGGATAGAACTCGGGAGTCCTGACTCCCAGGACCAAATTCTCTGCCGGTGTAAATTGCTACAGCTCTGCAGTGGTGGCAGTTTACACCAGCCTAGAATTTGCCCCCCCCAGTTCCCTGCTCTATCCATATGACCACAATGCCTCTCAGTTGTAAAGAGAGCCAGGAAAAGGAGAAATGATTTAGAATCCGGAGTAAATGCCGGGACTTCAGTGTGTTGCATTGTGTGGCATTTTCCCCTCATGTAGCTGTTGTGAGCACACATATGCGAGTGAAACACGGCATGCGGCTGGGAGAGCCAGTGCTAAAATGCTCTCTCTTCCAGCGGATCCGAGCCACAGTGAATAGCCAGGAGCAGAAGAGGTTACTGATGGACTTGGATATCTCCATGAGGACGGTAGACTGCCACTTCACAGTCACTTTCTATGGTGCGCTCTTTCGAGAGGTACAGCATTCTGGATTCCTGCCTACGTCTTTCCCTTACACTTACTTGGCTTGGAGGCCACTGTGATGGGCACTGTTAAAAAAATGTAATAGAAGTTAGAAGATTAGACTACATTGTAAGCCTTTCCCCCAGCCATCTAGGCACTTATGCTGTGCCCCTCCCTGGGGTGTCTGTTTTAATACACCACCATTGGTGTGCACTCTGCTATGCAGGTAGGTATAAAGACGTGATCCATCCCTAGGGGAATTTACAGTCTGATTTACAAAGGCTTCCTTGATCAGAGGAGACAAAACCCCCAAGGATCCTGGGTGAGGTGGGGAAAGCCATCTCTATGGCACTACCAGTTTCTATAGTGTTTGTTTAGACCCGGACAGTTGCGTGCTGAGAACATCAGCTCATGGCACATTGAGTTGCCTAGAGTTTAAAGCTAGAAGGACCATTAGATTCTCTAAACTGACCTCCCATTTATCACAGGCAGTAAATCTTACCCAGGCACCCCTAACCCATAGTTCTCTTAAACATCCCTCCAATGGTAAATACTGCTCTAGACGTGAATTGAGCCAGGGAACTAGAGAAGAAAATCACCACTGGGGAATTTTTCAAAAGCACCTCATCCCTATTTTCATAAGTGATTTAGGCCAAAGTGACTAGTGATTTTGGGTACCTCAGCTTTTGGGTGCTGAACCTGGGACACCGTAGAGGGGCCTGATTGTTAGAAAGTGCTGAGCACCCATCCTCCGAAAATCTGTCCCCTTTGAGAAGTCCAACTTGAACAACCAAAAATGGAGGCATCCAGAATCTCTAGTCACTTGTGAAAATCTTGGGGCCTTAGGAACTTAAGTCCCATTGACTTTCAGTGTGGCTTAGACTCCTAAGTCATTTAGGTGCTTTGGAAAATTTTACCCAATATCTGATTTTTAAACCCTTGAGCCATGTAGTGCAGCACCATATATAAATCAGACACATTGCACTTAACCCTTGTGTGCTTGGAGGAGAATGGAAAGCCCAGTGCAATCTTCTATGAGACGTTTAAAAAGCCAGCAAAAGCAAGCCAAGGGCGAGCGCTGTAGGAGAGACTGGGCAGATGTTTGCTTTCTCTTTCCCCCAGGGAGATGTGTGGATTTGCATGGAGCTGATGGATACCTCGCTGGACAAATTCTACAAACATGTCATTGACAAAGGCCTGACGATTCCTGAAGACATCTTAGGGAAAATAGCCGTCTCTGTGAGTACAGGCAGGGGTGATGTTTCTATTCTGAACCTAGGCTGTGAGGATCTAGCGTCCCTGCCATCGGAGCCCTGGGATGAACTTGGCCCACAACCCAGCCCACATGCTAATTCTTATTTGGCTTCCAGTATTTGGTCTGCGGTGACGTGTCTGCATTTATGAGCCATAAATGCTCTCAAATCTGCCGATCTGCTTTTCAATTATGAAGCAGAAAACCCGATTGATGTGGAGAGGGCACAGCAGCTGCTTTTCCTTTCCATCAATGTACTGTCATTCCCAGGAGATCTCTGAGCATGCATATTCCCTTAGAGCAGTATGGATCAGAGGAAGGTTAGCTGTTGGTTGTGGGGAGGGGACCAGCCTGCCAGGGAGGGAGGAAAGCTAGAGGGAGAGTCAAGTGGAAATCAGGGAGGTGTCCTTGCCAGTGCAGCAACTCATTTTGCATGCTCACATATCTCACAACTGTTGCCATGAATACTAAATCCAGACGTGGCGGGGGGCAAGAGCCCCCCAGGAATTCCTTCTTTAAAGATCCTGTGTAGCAAGAAAAGTTGAACGTTCTCAGCTCTCCACTAGGAGTCGCTACCGAGGCACACTAGCCCACACCTGCCACTGAGCACGCTGCCTCCCTAGCACGCACGGCTGTGTGCTGCCAAAATGACAAACCAAGATGGTTTCCCCCAAGCGGGGCCGATGGGGCGAGCGCGGGGCAGTCGCTGTCGAGGCAGGAGAGGTGAGCTAGCAAGGTGTGATCAGCCACGTCATGCCGCCGCCAGCTCTGGTTCACTGTAGATTTGTTATGTTTCAGATTGTAAAAGCACTAGAACATCTACATAGTAAGCTCTCCGTAATTCACAGAGGTAAGTGTGACCTGCGTAGCTTCTGGCACTGCTTGTTTCTCACTGAGCCCTGTGTCACGCTCTTAGTCCAGCAGGGCTTATACTCAGAGCCTCGCTTGGTGCACTAAAGATAGCCCAAATACATGAGGTTTGGGAGGCAGGGGAAATCCTGTGGTCCAGCAACCCAGGATAACCCAAAGCCTGCTCAGGATGAGTGGTGGGTTGTTGAGTTGCTCTTCAAACTCCCATCGACTTGCCAGCATATCTCCCCTGAAGCTGAACACAGAAAACAGCTTCCACCTTCACTTGGCTAGCAGAAGAAATGGATCATTTGCCTGCTTGCTTCACTGGATTCCTCTTCTGCTTCTGCTTCCCCATTGCATGCTGGGAAGGGCACAGCTGGCTAACTATGGGCCTAACTCAGAGCTCCTTGAAGTCCATGGAAAGACTCCCATTGGCTGCGATGGGCTTGGGATCAAGTTCTGCATATGCAAACTCCTCTCCGGGTGCAGAATGGGGCAGAACTGCCGTTTGGTGGCATTTACACTAAGGCCGGTAGCAAGTCTCAGATTATTCACCCTCTCATGCAGGTCAGATCAACAGCTTAGCCTGTGGGAGAGGCATGCAACATACGTTTATAGATGAACTAAGCTTTAAAAAGCCCGACATAGGTACTAAAAAATAAAAATTGGGGCCTACCGTATTTTCCTTTCTGGCAACCACATTTGATCTCCAGATTTGTGATCAAACCTGCAATGTTTTGGTAATATTAGAGACACTGGCAGGGTAAATATCTTCGTATGTGTTTCAACCCCCCCAAATTTCCTGACCGGTATCAGAAATCCAAAATTATTAAAGCTGAAAAAATGTTTGTTGTGTGTTTGTACAGCACAGTGGGGTCTGGTTCATAACTGGGGCTCTCAGGTGCTACTGTAGCTTACCATAGCGATAATAATTTATTTCCCCATTTGTTTTTGGGTTTTTTGCCCTCCGCTTTAGTGTCAGATCAGTTTCAGGATCTGACCCTAATGCTCTCTTGCAACATTGAAGGGTTTAAGTTGCAAAAGCTGAAGGGGGCATCATTTCTGTGTCATTCGGGCAGGTTTGGTTTTTTGTTTTTAGCAGAATCTAAATTTGGGGTTTAAACTCTCTTGACAATGTCCCCTTTAAAGCAACAATCCGCATTCAGGCCGATGCCAAGAACTGACATGATAGGAAACTGACTAACTTACTCTTTTATCAGTTGGCACATTTATGTAAAGGATTGTTTTCCATTTGTTGTCATGAAAAAAAAAAAGCCCATATCTGCAGCGTGACTGCTGGGGAAAGAGTTGTTTGAAATGATAGATGTTCAAACGTAACAGGGGATCGTGTCTTGTACATAATGTGTGTAATTGAGGTTGAGCTCCTGCCTTTTGGATATTTTATGGTGGGTGGGAAATGCCATTTCGCTTCTGGATTTTTGTTTGTGTGACTGAGTTCAATTGAAAATTCCTTGTTCCGACATCATAAATGAGGGGGGAAGATCTCAGGTGCCAGAGGCTTTGATTGCAAAGAGACAAGATGCTAAATACCATGAACCTCTAGGTTCTGATTAGTGGGCTCAAGGGGATGGTGGCACTGCTAGCAACCCTCAGATGCCTTTACAGCTTTGTATTATTCTATAATATGTGTAGATAGAGCAAATGGTTCAGAAGGAATGGTGGGTGCCTCCAGCGTGAGGAATGAGCCCATGGTTAGATGAGGGCACTACCCTAGGATATGAATGACCTGGGTTCAAACCCTGCTCTGCCAAAGGCCTCTTTATGTGAGCTTGGGCAAATCTCTTGGGAAACTGAGGCACAGAGACATTATCTGAATAATGGTGTTAATAGCACTGGCCTGCCTCACATATTGAGTGTGGCATGCTCACGTACGATGGTGTTGGAGGCCAGATAAGTATGATAGAACAATAGAATTTCTGACCCCTTGGGCCTGATTTCCAGGAAGTCTGGGTGCTCCCAACTCCAGCTGAAGTCCGTAGGAGTTGCAGGTGCACCCATGGGGCTGGAACTAGGGGTGCTGGCTTAAAGTGGTTTCCATCATATACAGGGTTTACAGTTTGGTTCAATTCTTCTCAGCATCCCCACTGTACAAATTGTCCCAGCACCTCTGGATGCATCTCTGATTCAGGCCCAAGGTGACTCAAGTTGGGCACCAAAACTAGAGGCCACTCTTGGAAACTTTGGCCTCTGTATCTTGTCTTATGATTTTCTCCTTTCCCCAGCTCTCTATTCTCTCCTCCCATCTTTCCAGACTTCCACCCTTCTTCCCCGTCTCCTGGCCCCTTCACATCTTATCTCTGGGGTTTTCCTTCATGCTGCTGTGAAAGCATCTTCAGTTAACGCATCCTCACCACGCGGTGGATTTTCACTGCCGAGATTTTTGTTATTTGTGCTGCCGATGGTGTGCTCAACGGGCAGCTTCGGGGTGCTGCTCTGTGACATCGCTCTTGTCTGTGACATCATGATGCTGCGCCCTACCCAAAGTAACAATAACAGGGAAATCTGTTAGTTTCCCTGGGAGCAATGTTTGTAAGACGTGGGAGGGGCTTGTGTAAATGGGGAAAATCTTTTGCATTTGCAACAGCTCCCAATCTTAGTGCAGTGGCTAAAAAAAGCCCTGCAGATGAGCCTGCGTGGATTGATGCAGTCGATATTGCTTAGGTGTCTTCTGGTGGTAGGAAGCTAACCCGCCTTGTTCGCTCCCAGGGATGCTTTAAAACGATGGGGCTAGGCCCAGTTGTGACAGTGACGATGGTGTGTGTTCCTTTTTACAGATGTAAAGCCCTCTAATGTGTTGATCAATACACAGGGGCAGGTGAAAATGTGCGATTTTGGAATTAGCGGTTACCTCGTTGACTCTGTTGCTAAAACCATGGATGCAGGATGCAAGCCCTACATGGCTGTAAGTTGGGAAGATGTGTGGGAAACTGACTGCCCCACTGTAGAGAGGAATGTGGCAATAGATGATCTTAAAACGGGAGACCTAAAACAGAGCAACTTCCAGCATGTGTCTCAATGGCTCGCTTAGTGAAACATGCCTCTATAGTTATTTATTGTCTAATTATTTGTAAACATAAAGAGGAGGCTCTTACAGCTAAAGCTCAAAGCTGGGAATCAGGACTCCTGGGTTCTGTTCCCAGCTGACACTGACTCACTGTGTGATCGTAAGGAAGCCCCGGTAACCTCACTTTGCTTCAATTTCCCTATTTGCACAGTGGGGACAATAACACTTTTAGCAACATCCAGGCTCCTCTGTGAAAAGTCAGCAAGAGGCACCTGTGAGCACCACGGAGGGGTCAATTTAGAAGGGTCAGGTACATTAGGGCCCATCAGGTTTGACATCCTGTGGGCCCCAGGACAGCTGCTGCTTCAGGTTCACTTAGCAGCCAATGCACGCAGCCTCTTTTGGCTCTTTAAAGAGATGGTTTGCAATTCCCCTTTCAGTGCCATTGCCCAGCGCGGGAGAGGGTTCACAGTGCTACGCTATTCAGGGGTGCTGTGAACACCGCCTTTCGGCCCATGTTTCCCCCCCACGTTCATAGAATCATAGAATATCAGGGTTGGAAGGGACCTCAGGAGATCATCTAGTCCAACCCCCTGCTCAAAGCAGGACCAATTCCCAACTAAATTATCCCAGCCAGGGCTTTGTCAAGCCTGACCTTAAAAACCTCTAAGGAAGGAGATTCCACCACCTCCCTAGGTGATCTGTTTGTGTAGCAGCAGCTTTGTTATAGCTTCTAAGTCAGGATGGATCTCACCTGCCTTGCACTTTTCTATGCCTATGCGAGAGTGGGTGTGAAACTCTAACCCGGGGGGTGGGGAATCCTTCGCCCACAACCCCCGGTGGAGCATTTTACTTTGCTGAGGGGCAAACTCCTACGTGAGGCTTAAGGAACTAGTGAATTGTGGCCTCCAGTCTCCTGGATAAATCCAGGCCAGACCATGTTTCGAATTGGGAACTGGGGAAACAGGAATTCAGCTTCTACTATCTAGATCTCAGAATGCAAATGCCATCCGCTTCCGGTCCCCAGTCTTGTTGCCTGTCCTTGCAGAGACTGTAGGCCAGATCCAGTCAAGAGATAATAGGGGAGTGGAGTTTCAATAAAGAAATGGCCCTATGGGTTTCCTCTCAAAGACTCCCCTCGGGATTGGGGATTGGTCCTGTGCATTCAGCATGGTTAGTGCTGCAGTGGGGATTGCCTGCTGGAAAGCATTCAGAGATGGTGCAGACTTGCTCTGGGGATATTTGCTGAAACATAGGGAATAGTTGCTCAATATGGGGAGCTCACATCAGTCTTAACAGGCACTCCAAGGGGATGGAGAGGGGCCGAACGATGTAGGGATTGAACCTGTATGTCTATTTCAAACTGTTCTCGTCTCTCTTTCCAGCCTGAAAGAATCAACCCAGAGCTAAACCAGAAAGGATACAGTGTCAAATCGGATATCTGGAGTCTGGGAATCACTATGGTAGAGTATGGAGCCCTGAAAGGGCAGATCTGAAAGGGCTTGGGGTTTAAGGGAACACTCAGCAGGGCTGACAGTGCTCTCTGGTTCTGTTTTGTTTTGGACCTCTCCCTCAGATCACTGACACAGTTCCAGAGCCGGGGGATATTCAGCTCTCTCTGCACCAGTAGCCCATAGCATATTGCAGTTTAAAGGGGAAGGAGCCTAGTGCTAATTCACTAAGCCACGTAATCTGAGATCCTAGTGATTGTCACTAATCGTACTAGGCAGTCAGCACCTAGAAACTACAGCAATGAACACACTTGCAAAACAGTCAGTCACAGGAGACACAGCACGCGGGGAGACTCCTGAATCCGAGTCACACGTCATTGAACAGAAACCAAGAGTGCGACTCCTCTGAACACCGAAGACAATGTGTAATAAGCTAACCAATAAGCAGGAGAGGACCCTGATTTCTCGAACATCCAAAGATCTCTTTCAGTCTCCCCTCTGAACACCCTTGCAACTCAGCTGCCCACATCCAAGTGATGCACTTAGAGACAGCAGGCCTTATAGCTACAGCAGTCAACCCATAATACTTTTATTATTTAAAGGCACAGTGTAGTATTCTCACATTGAGCTTATAACATAAGAACATAAGAATGGCCATACTGGGTCAGACCAAAGGTCCATCCAGCCCAGTATCCTGTCTACTGACAGTGGCCAATGCCAGGTGCCCCAGAGGGAGTGAACCTAACAGGTAATGTTCAAGTGATCTCTCTCCTACCATCCATCTCCATCCTCTGACAACAGAGGCTAGGGACACCATTCCTTACTCATCCTAGTTAATATCCATTAATGGACTTAAGCGCCATGAATTTATCTAGTTCTCTTTTAAACTCTGTTATAGTCCTATAGTCACAACCTCCTCAGGCAAGGAGTTCCACAGGTTGACTGTGCGCTGAGTGAAGAAGAACTTCCTTTTATATGTTTTAAGCCTGCTGCCCATTAATTTCATTTGGTGACCCCTAGTTCTTATATTATGGGAACAAGTAAATAACTTTTCCTTATTCACTTTCTCCACACCACTCATGATTTTATATATCTCTATCAGATCCCCCCTGAATCTCCTCTTTTCCAAGCTGAAAAGTCCTAGTCTCTTTAATCTCTCCTCATATGGGACCCGTTCCAAACCCCTAATCATTTTAGTTGCCCTTCTCTGAACCTTTTCTAATGCCAGTATATCTTTTTTGAGATGAGGAGACCACATCTTTACGCAGTACTCAAGATGTGGGCGTTTCATGGATTTATATAAGGGCAAGAAGATATTCTCCGTCTTATTCTCTATCCCTTTTTTAATGATTCCTAACATCCCGTTTGCTTTTTTGACTGCCGCTGCACACTGCGTGGACGTCTTCAGAGAACTATCCACGATGACTCCAAGATCTTCCTCCTGATTAGTTGTAGCTAAATTAGCCACCATCATATTGTATGTATGGTTGGGGTTATTATTTCCAATGTGCATTACTTTACATTTATCCACATTAAATTTAATTTGCCATTTTGTTGCCCAGTCACTTAGTTTAGTGAGATCTTTTTGAAGTTCTTCACAGTCCGTTTTGGTTTTAACTGTCTTGAGCAGGTTAGTATCATCTGCCGACTTCGTATCAGTTTAGTATCATCTGCTCCTGAGATTCTCCCACCAGGACAACAGGAGGGTTGTCTTTCACTGTGCAGAGCTAAAAACAGGAAGAAGGGGGTTGGCAGCCACTAAAGAAAAGAACAACATTGACTTGTGCATGCCCGGTGAATGGTTGGGCAATGTAAGTCATCTCCAGGAAGTGACATGGAGGAAAAAAAGGGGGTGCCTCTTTCTGGGACCCTTACATAAAAACCCAGTGGCTTTCACTCCTGCCATGAATGTGGTAGTTCTCAGCCCAAAGATCTCCATCTAAGGCTGCTCCCCCCAATATTTTCTTCCATAATTTTTGGGCAGATGTGGTGAGGGGAAGGATCAGGTAAGAGAAATTACCTCCATGTAATTTCACTTATGGAAACACATTTCTTTTCTGGTGCCAAATGGTTTTCAAAACTGAGCCTTCTCTAGACCAGTGGTTCTCAACCTTTTTGGGCTCAGGACCCATTTGTAAATGTTTATGGCATGTCGCGACCCAGTAAATAGTCTGGGGGTGGAGGCCCTGGGGTGGTTTAGGTCGGATCCTGCCCCCATGGGGGTTAGGTTCTTCCCGGCACTTACCCCATAGTGGCCGCTCCTGTGCTGTGGGGCTGGCTGGGCCTGGCTCCCTGCTCTGGGGGTTGCAACCTCCGGGGGTTGCAACACTACTCAGGTTTGGCCCCGCCCCTCCTCACTGGATCAAATTTGCGGGAGTGGAGTTGTGACCTGGCTCACAGGGTTGCAGTTCCACTCGTTCAGATTTGGCCTACCCGGACTCCCATCATTATGATGGAAGGACCAAACCTGAGTAGTGCTGGGACCCCAGAGGCTGCCGTGCCTGGAACAGGGAGGCGAGACCCACCAGCCACATGAGACAGGAGCCACGGGAGCTGCCTTGCGACCCTTTGAAACATTCTGGTGACCCAATTTTGGGTCCTGACCCACGGGTTTAGAAACCCTGCTCTAGAGGAAGTACAGCCCATCTCTTTAAATATCTTCTGAATTCCATGTGAATTCCATTGAATTAAGTGAAAAATGACTGACATTCCTTCCGGGCAGGGTGGGAGCAATTTTAAAGGGCAAGAACTGTCTGTGGAACCTCCCTCAGCCAATTCCTGTCTTTTGGACTCCTGCAGTCGCACTGTGTGCCTTCCTCATCCTCTCTAGAGAGGCAGGAGGGTCTGGTGCTTAGGGTGTGCATTTGAGAGACACAAGTTCAATCCCCCTTCTCTGTGTGAGCTGAGGTAAGTCACGAGGGGACATCTTTAAAAGGGCTGAAATGTCTTAGGCAGTGAGAGTGAAGCTCCTAAGTCCCTTCCGAAAATGGGACTTAGGAGCCCAAGTCCTGTAGAGACTTTACCCTCAGCCTCTGTGCCTCAGTGTCCCATCTGTACAATAGTTAATAGCACTGTGTCCCTCGCAGGGGCGCTGTAAGTCTGAATACATTAATGATTGTGAGGCGCTCAGACATGAAGGTAATGAGGACCTTAGCTAGGGAGTGGTTTAAAGCCCCCTTTAAGGGTATGTCTGCACTGCAGCTTGAGGTGTACTAGACGTGCACATGCTAGCTTTGACCTAGCTAGCACCCAAAATAACAGCATGGCCGTGGTGGCACAGACAGCGGCTTGGGCTAGCTGCCCAATACAGTCCCCTCCTAAGTCCTAGGTCGGTACTCGCTTAGGCTTGATCAAAGCTAGTGCCTGTATGCCCACCTCCAGCTGCGGCATGGAGGTACCCTGTGCGGTGGCTTTTCCCAAGAATAGCTGGCTGGAGTGTTGTGAACTGCGGGGAACCCACTGACCTAGCAGAATAATTCCACCCATGCTCTGCCGGTGGGGCAGTGAGGGTAGGCTGTGACCCTAGGTTGCTGCAGCCTTGTCCTTGGATAACTTTGTGCACGCCCTGAGCACACGTCTAGTTCTTGTGTCATCGCCCTGCCTCACTCAGCACAAACCAGCAGAACTGGCCTCTTCTGCTGCACCCTGCACTTCCCCTGAGGCACAAAGAATCCTGGGACTCTCCTGGTTGGTGCCTTAGAGACACAACTGAGCCCAGTGTTCCTAAGTTAAATTGCTTTAGGGTTCGACTGCACTGCTTAAAACTGAAAAGCAACTTGAGTGTAACTTCAGCTGGCCAGCTGATGGCAGTACAAGCCAACACTAGCAAAGGGCCTGAAATGCTGATCGGGAAGCATCCATCCCTACTCGGAGAGTCTGTCGTTTCGGAGTCTCTTTGATTTCAAAGATAAAAATAAACTTGGTGGTTATTAGCAAAATCTCTCTTTAAACTCAGAATTGGAAGATCTGCCCTGAAATCCAGGAAAATTGGAGTTAAAGGGATTCCACCAACTTAACTTGTCACAGCAATAGGTCAAAGATTGATTTTTAACACCTGAGAGTAGGGTAATGGAGAGAGATAAGAGGGAGAAAAGGTTTTATCTCAGATTTGTTCACTTTGTGCATTTAACTTACTTGCTATATAGTCCATTTCCCCTGTAATTTGAGTGGGTCTTTCACACAGAATAATACATATTAAAAGAAAATTAGGAAATTATCATTGTACTTAGATTGTAAGATCTTTGTGGCCAGGAACTGATCTTTATGATCGGTATGTACAGTACCTAGCACCGTGGGCCTCCAGTCTTGGTTGGGCCTCTAGGCACTCTCAGAATACAAATAATAGTAAAGCTACAAGCTGACGGAGTGGATGCAGTACAGATACCATGAATCCACCTCTCCCTTCTTCCAGGTGGTGATGATACAGACTTGCTTTGCAGGGGTGTGAATGACGGCATAGGGGGTAGGGCAGTGGGGATCGAGTCCTGGAAGCATGAGATGAAGAGAAATGGAAAAAGTTGTTCACTGATTTATCTGGTATGGGAGAAGAAAAATCAGTGCACCCCCTTGACTGTATTTTAAAACTGGTTCCACTAGTGTCCCTTGCAAAGTAGGGACCTGCTCCTATGCTCCGTTCTGGCAGAGGAGGATTTAAGCTGAGAGTGCTAAGTAATGGGGTATGTCTTGGTCTCTCCCATCCCCAGCCCCTCCAGAGAGCAGTGCTGCGGGAAAGAGTGCGCACTGTGTTCATACAGGGTAGGTGGTGAAAGGTGCCTTGGAAACTGACAGAGCCAGTGATTGAGACCCTTCATTACTGCCGGTGTCACTCGAGCTCTTCGTGGGGCTTTAAAGCCACGAGGCTGCGGGGGGGAGGGTGTCTTCCGTGCTGATGCCTGCCCCTCTCTCCCACCCCCCCACCCCAGATCGAGCTGGCGATCCTGCGGTTTCCATATGACTCTTGGGGGACGCCGTTCCAGCAGCTCAAACAGGTGGTGGAGGAGCCGTCGCCGCAGCTTCCGGCGGACAAGTTCTCAGCGGAGTTTGTCGACTTTACCTCACAGTGGTAAGCGGATCCCTCCTGAGCTCTGGCTGTGGAAACCCAGGAAGGACCCCCCCTCCCGCCCCCACGCATCCAGGAAGCTCAGTCCAAGGCTGAGCCCTGTCTGCTTGGAGTCTGTAGCTCTGATATGTTTTCCTTGCATTCGGTAAAGAGCAAGAGGCTTGAATGCTGGCTGTGTCACTTAGAACAAAGTAAAACTGAAGCCTCCTGCCCCAGCATGCCCTGGGCCTGGAACCAGAATTGTCTGTCACTGGTCAGGGGTGTGAAAGGGGTCCTGGGGGGATATTGTGCTATCAGTGCCAATCTTAAGCCTAATTCTGCTGGTATAAACTCCCCATTGAGTGTGTGCGATGGCTCCCATCTTGGCCGACACGAGGGATTGAACCGGGGATCTCCAGCATGGCTCTTTACAAGTCACAGCCCCAGCTAGCGAGCCTGGCTTTTTAGGCAAAGACTTAAATGTTGTGTGTATGGGGCATATAACACACACTGTCCAGAGGCTCTCACACGTCTTAGACATGAGGGAGAAATGCGAGAGAGAACAATGGCAAATCATTTCATCTTTAAAGGGGACACTAGCTAAGTAGTGTGGGTCTCAAACTGGAACTACTTCAAAGCAGTTGTGCTGACCTGGGGGATGTTTCCCCAGAGGTGAGATGGAGGAAGAGAATTTTTCAAGCCACTATATTCTTTGCTGAATAACTAAACAACCCAAGTCACTCCTCGTGCCGCTGTCGACGGGGAGCCATGACCCGGGCCCTGGAATTGGCTCCTCTCTTTCCACAACAGGTGGCTTCCCCCAAGAGAAGATTCAGAAATGCACGTACCCCTGGCCCTGCACATCAGCAGCCTCGCACTGCTTTCCTGTGCACGGACACGTGAGCCTGAGTGAACCTTCCGTAAGGCATCCAGGGTGGAACGTGTTTGGGCCTGAGAATGGCTGTTTCCTGTGGCTTTCAGGAAATGTAGCGCTGACCCTGAACGACCCCCCCACCGCCTCAGAGCCCCTGGGAAGCTGTGCCACAGAGTGTCTAGCTGAGGGTAGTGGAAGTTCAGAGTTTACTCAGAGCTCGGTCACATCTTCCTTTCGATCAGTGCAGGGGGCAGGCTCTGTTGTGGCTTACAGCAGGGCATCTGCGTCGATTTCAGTGGGGCAGGGTGGGCCCGGAGGCGCAGAAAGAGGAGGTGAGCACGGGGAGAGGTAAAGGATCCATGTTACAGCCTGGGGCACACTAGCGCTGTCAGCAGGTTCGGAAGGCTGCATGAAAGAACAGATCCTTCCTGCCCCCTAAAATAGACTGGCATTTGTCCTTGTCCTGAGGTGCATTGTTTAGTAGCTTCTAGCAACAGCCCTACAGCATTTGAATGCTCCTCCCTTCAGCCTCCCTGGAAACTACTCCAGAGGCCTCCCCCCCTTTCTTTTTTCCATTTGCTGTTTTGCCACTTGCTGTTTGCCAAGTTGGCAGATGGATGGCTGTTTGCATGGTAGCCAGGGAAGTGCTACAGGCTGACAAATGCAGAAATATGAGACTGTTCCTGATCTCCCAGTGTCAGGGCTCACAGCCCTGCCAGCTCCGCTTGTGCCCCAGGAAGGAGTTTATCACACCAGCCCAGTGGACCTTAAGAAACAGTACTTGGGATTCTGCTTTGGGGCCCTGTTTAAATCGGCCACGTGCTCAAGGTTCCTGGAATTTATTTCCTCCTCTTACTATGCAGAATCAATCCCATTTTCCCCACTTCTGCTCCACACACACACACATTTCCTCCTCTTACTATGCAGAATCAATCCCATTTTCCCCACTTCTGCTCTACACACACACACACACACACACACACAGAGCAGGACTGATGCCCCCCCGGGTAGGGGGAAATGACACCCCCCGTTTTGGAAGCCAAACACTGAAATTCTCCTTTCTAGACAACCTTCCTTTCCTCCATCTTGCCTGCTTGCCGCTTTGTTATTGTAGGGTTGTTTGAGCAAGCTGGGCAGCTTGTTGTTTTCCAAAGAACGCTGAGCTATTTGCTTTTCCAAGCCCCGTTGCTTGTTGCAGGTCACATGGACTTCACCAGCAGGTTTTAAGAAGAGGAAATCCAGACTGTTTGCGATGGTTATAATGATAATATCCTATCTTTTAGGACTTGCAAGAAAGTGTGTGTGCATCTCAGAGGGCCTGATTTAGCATCCACAATCTCACTTGATGTCTGTGGGAGCTGCTGGTGCTCAGGACCTCTGAAAACCAGGCCCTTGGTGTCTTTGGCCTGGTTCAACATCACTGAACTCAATGGAAGCAGATTTGGACCCTTAATTTCTGGCCAGGATCGGATCTGGGGGTTTTGGGATGCTGATCTTAAACAAGAAATGTAGGAGGTGTTAAAGAAACTCAGGGAACTGAAAAGAGAATTTGGCAGAACCAGAGGTTCCATATTGCTGTGAACTCTATGGTCAGTGATGATCAGTAGTGGGTTTTGAAAGGCTTCTTAAAGATTAACGTTAAATTCCTTCAGTAATAACCTGCCGCTGTATGCCGTGGGATTGGTAATCCAAAAATGAGTCTTTTCCATGAAGTCTAAATTAACAAGAGCACAGACCAAACGCTGGATGAGAACACATCCAAGCTTTGAAGCTCACCTTCAGCTTGACTTGAAGCTTGACTCATTGCAGACTTGAAGGATATGATGCATCTCTTCCCAGTCACTTACCACAGTTAGCAGTTTTGACATGCATTATACCAATGCACCGCGGTTACAGTAAACGTGAGCTAACCATGTGCAGCAAGAGACAGGAAATATCTACTCAGCGGGCATCCATCACTTCCCTTGGGCCTGGCAAATCCCACAGTGGAGTGGCTTATCATAGCTGAGGCTCACACTTTTGTTTTGCTCAGCATGACACCTTTCCCCATGGACGTGTCAAGATCTTTTAAAATCACTCCAAGCTTCTTCCCATAAATACACCATCAGGAAGTGAGTAGCGATTACGTCCTGTGATTAGAAGCTATTTTCTGCTGGAGGGAAGCAAAAATAACCTCCCAGCCACCAGCCTCCCGAGCCATCTGTTGTAGTGGAGGAGACTAAAGGATGTTCCGTGTAACTGTCCCCATGCCATAACTGAAGTGCAGAGATAAAGAATAGCCAGGCATGGGTTTCCAAGCCATTCAGTTCTCCACTCCCTTGCTGGAGCATTGAGGAGCTGCCAACTTCTGCAAGCCCTGATTTTGCCCTGAATATATTCAGAGGGTCCCTTCAGAGCTCACCAGATGTGCAATGTGTTGGCTAGCATGTATGCTGTCTAGGGATGTACCTGTAGGAGTCAGAGCTCCTGGGTTCCTTTTCTGCCACTGACTTGCAGTTTGATGTCTGTCCCCAAATCCCTTCACCTCTCTGCCCCTGGTACTTACTTAGCTCTCAGGGGTTATGGGAAGGTTAATTGGAGAATGCCGGCTGCAGTGAGCTCATATGAACAATGCTGTAGATGGTCTAATTATTATGACAGTGTGTGTATCACTCTCCCTTCATGATTGGCCTTCCACGAGATAATCCTTCTATCACCACCACTAGAGCTGGGGCAACTGTTTGTTTTTGCAGCTGATGGCCCTGGCATTATTCAATGACTCTGTGGACCACAAGTGAGTGGTGTAGCTTGTCACCGTTATCTGTATGTTTGTTGACCACCAGAGTCCATATCTAGCTCGAGAGGATTTTACTGAAACACAAAGTGCAGTAATTTCCCCTACCACCATGCAGTCCTTGCCCTGGAACTGAGCTGCTCTGGCTGAGGGACTGAGAAACCAAGACTCAAAACCACAGTGGCGGAGTGAGGGTACATGCCATTGGGCTGTCGTGGGGTCATGAACTGAGTGTGCTGAGCCTGCAAGTTCTTGGGGCTCTGTGGCGGGCCACTTGGGGAATGAACCTTGGCAGACAGAGCCACAAATAATGAATAGATAATGGAAAAGGAAGTAACAGAGGGGATAATTCAGAGAGGCCCATGGCTGCAGATGGATGTTATCTTGAAAGTTTTAAAATGCAAAGGATCTGATGGGTGAGATGTGATCGCTAGAAGGCACAGGCTGCCAGCTTTCTCCCAGGATGTCGGTGGGGGTCTGCATGCACAGACTGCAATCGGAGCATGGCCCTAAATTTGTAGCATGTCTTTTTCTAGATAGTGGAGTTTTGAATAAACCCAAACTTGTGAAGTAAGAACACAAATGGGGGAAACAGGACTGCCGGGGAGGTCTGATCCAAATCCCATTTGCAGTTAATAGAAAGACTCTGGTTGACTTTTTAATGAGCTGTAGGCCAGCTCATTATTTGATTTCTGATGAGACTGAATGAATCCGAGGAAGGAGTACATGCTTCAGAGATGTGCCATGGAACGTGGTCTTCAGGAAATGGCATCAGCTGTTCAGAGCCGTGGAAAGGCCAGAGTCACAGTGACGCAAAACAAACTAACTGCTGGGAAATCTACAGTGTTCATACTCCAGTCACTGGAAGGTCCTAAAATCTGAGGGCTGTTGATCTAAAATATGGATGCAGGACTTAAATCTTTGGGTATTTGCGTGGTGTATTTTTATGGCTTTGCTTAAATTACATACAAGATATAATTCTCTTTTTATTTCCTTTCCTTCCTTTAAGCTTGAAGAAGAATTCCAAAGAACGGCCAACATACCCAGAGCTTATGGTGAGTGTGGCAAGGCTAAAGGTACATGGTAGCCAGACTTAAAGCTTAGGTTTTCAAAAGTGACTAGGTTTTCACAGGGGACTAGTGATTTTGGATGCCCCCTTTCATGTGTCTGGAGTTGAGCACCCAAATCACTACTCGTTCTAGGAAATCTTGGCCTAAGTACCAAATTTGGTTCTTTGTTACTCAGGTGCATTTCCCATTCAGATCAAAGGAAAGTGTACTGGTATAACTAAGAGCAATATGTTTCCCTAACGCTGTAATGGACCAAGGGTGTATGGGGAGTACTGCCAGGATGGATGAGGATGGGTTGGCAAAGGCAAAACTCTCCACTAGGATCTGCATGAGGGCCTTCTACACCCATCCTGAGCAGAGTTTTCATTGCTGTTCCACATGGGCAGCAGGAGCAGAACGTGCAACAGAGATTCATTGCCATGGCAACTTGGAGAGGAGGCTTTTGAACTGAATGATTTCCAGATGTTATTGGCCAGGATCAGCATGTGACCAAAACAAGCATTCACGTACTGAATTTCTTCTGCTGCTTGGAATATATTTGTTTTGGGCAGGGCTGGGGGAAGCAACTGTGGAAAAAGATTAATGATAGGAGGGCAATGCAAGGTAATTTGTGTGCAGTGCTGAAAGGGGCTCAGAGGTCAAGTGTGCTTAGCTGCAGGTGAACTCCCAGCTGTTCAGACACTGCTCTAAACTCAGCCAGAGCTGTAGGAACTGATTTGGCAAGAACAGGCTATGCAATGGGGTGTCCTGTACCTCCAGACTGCACTTTGGTCAGAACCTCTCTCCTGATCTTCTGGAGCTACTTCTGCTCCTATTTCTGGTTAGAATCTGGAATTGCCGAGTCCTGATGAAAACACGAGAGAGAGAAATAACAGAGCTGAATAGCTGCTTGTGAAGTTAACATCCCACTCTCCTAGACATTCTGCTTGGTTTCTGTTTTAGCCCAGTGCTTTGTCCATCCCCAGGTGCACTTCCCACTCCCTCCCTGCCATTTCCAACACCTCTTTCATTTGCTGGGACGCAGGAAGGAAGTTAGTCAGAAAGTATCCTCCCTCATCGCTTCCTCCCGGCTCACTTTACCGGTCTTTGCGATACCTGCTGTAAGAGAGCTTTGAGATTCCTAACACTCTATAGGTGTTCTCTGCACTGGAAGGTCATGCACCTTTTAAAAATTACTTGTAAGCAGTGAGTAATTCCTGTGGCATTTTTGCTGGGGTCTGTAATGCGATTAGACTATGTAGAGATCTACTTTACACACAGCTTTGCTTGCACACCGACTTTCAGACAAAGGGAAGACCAAATGTTTTTATTTATGATTGAATAGATAGATGTAGAGAGAAAGCAAATCTCAGACCTTTGCCAAATGGCCTTTTATCAAAAAGGCTCACCAGGGCAGATTTGTCTGTTGCAGCATAATACCCATTGGTAGCTGTGCTCACGTCTATTGAATTAGGCCCTTGGATCACCTTTCCAACATATCTCAACACTGTGGTATTTTACGGCAGATGTTAATGTTGTGAGGTCCTGTGGTTTTGGGGTGGTTTTTCTTTTTCTCTCCTGTTCTCTTATGGCATTACGAGTTGCAGTACTGGAACGGACTTGCCTTTTTAGAACACGGCTGCTCTTTGCTTTCCTGTGGAATTGGGGTTTCTCATGGAAAATGTGACTCTGTGTTCTCTGACTTGAGTAGCGGGAAAACAGATACTGGTGGTCTGTGCTTAATTCTTTTTTAAAACCTGTTTCCCCAGGTGAAATGGAGCATGAAACAACAAAAGGAATCCCTCTCCCACAGCTTACAGGCTGTAAAATACAGCCTAGGTCATGTGGAGGTGGCTGGGCAATTAGCTTTGCGCACTGTTCTCTTCCAGCCAGTGGCTGAGGTTGAGATCCTGCAGGGATCAGCATGTGACCAAAACAATAATGGGAATTGCTGTGAGAATTGTTCACGGGGCACTTGTGAAAAGTGACTCAGGTCACTTGGTGCATCTTTCCCTAGCCTCTACTCATATAATGGCATGGTTTGCGTCAAGTGACTATCTCTGATCAGCAGAAATGATCTCCGGGCTCTTATCTCCTGTCTCATACCTGCTTGAGCCCTGTTCTCTGCTTAAAATCTATGCCTCTCTCAGATGTTCCTCCTCCTCCTTGCAGTTGTGTCTCTGAACCTTTTTTACATGCTGCTCCCTATGCTTGGAGTAGCCTCTAGTGCATCAAGCTACATCACTCTCCTTTTTCAAATCCACCCTAAGACAGCTCACTTCTTCCCTCCTCCAACCACTCTCTCCTGTCTCCACTCGGTCAATGCACCAGACGAAAAGTAATTTTGATCTGCATTAACAAACAAATCTTATAATGCAGGTGCCAAGCCTAAACCATAACCGCTCCCATGACATCTTCACGTGCGCTGTCCATCCAATGTCTGATTTAGGTTGTAAGATTATTGGCAAAGGGACTTTGTATTGACTTTACTGACAGATGCAAGACAACAAATTACATTTAGCAGCAGGGCTCTTGGATCTGGATTGAGACGCATTGGCAGGATGGTACTTGGAACCTGAACTGGAGTAGAAGGTGTTGCAGGTCTCAGTTGAGGGGCATCAGGAGAGCTGCGACGAAGCCCTGAACTGAAGTATGGGTATTGCAGGGTTGGACTTAAGGTGCACTGGCAGAGCCGGGCAGGGGCGTGGGGCTACAGCAGGTGTTGCAGGTCAGGACTGATGTTCTTTGGCAGAGCTGGGTACACTTTAGACATTGTCATGTAGTCAGGCTGTGATCCATGCTCTTCATTCCTCCGTTTTATGAGCTGCACGTTAGTGTTTTAAAGAAAGCCAGGTGAAGAGCCTTTTCCTCTCCAAGAGGTGACACATCTGCTGTTTTTCCCATGGCTTGGCAGGGCATTTCTGCAACACAAGCAGAAAAGCAAAACCCCACCCATGCCCAGCCTCAAGAGAGCTGCGGGAGGGACTTCTTCCATCCAGCAGCTCACCGTCTCGTGCGTCAGAAGCTGAAGGGAGTAGCAGGACCCCGTGCCAGGAATCGTCAATGTAGCCGACTCCAGTTAAATTGGTCCCATATCATCAGTGAGACGTTTTGAAGGATTTTGACAAAGTCTTTAAATGTCAGATGAATTCAGATTTGGGGTGTGGTGGGGGGTTCTTGAAATGCGATGAGCAGTTAAGATTGCCCAGCAGGAGTGTTGGAGGATTGTTTACACAGAGTGAGTAGGTCGTCTGGGTATGATCCTTGCATTACTGTTAGGGTGCCGCAGGAAGCTTTTATTTTTGCTGAGTAAGGGTGAAGGAAATGATCTGAAAAGTAGATTCTTTGAAATCCTCAGCCTAGCATCCAATGCCAGTAGCTCAGGTAAGGACTGGGGAGATGGGCAAGGGCCAGGTCTCCTTCCCCCGAACTCAGGCAGTGATTGCCACGCCCTGCTGTTTATGTAGGGGGACTGAGGGATCCGTGCAGTGGCATCTCTCTCCTGAGCTGGATTTGCCTATTGCGGTTCCATATAACTCCCACTGCACACAGATGCCTGCACGCAACAGCAAGGAATATTCAGCAAAAACTTGGTAACACATGCCGGTGACTGGAAGGCCCAGTGTAGGTCACTGAGCACAGGGAATCGTGGCTACTCGCTCCGAAACTAACACCCACTGGATTGGGTGTAACCCAGGACAGAACATAGCCTTCAGTGAGAAAACGAGCAAACAGGATTTGTGAAAAATTCACAGCCAAAATAGCTTTTGCTCTTTCATTTTGAAGGTGGGGGGGAGAAAGTGGGAGATAGAGGGAAGAGTGGAGGGTGGGTATTACAATACAGCAAAATGTCCAGGAAAACGTTCTAAAATGGATGAAAGTTTAGAAGTATGAAGCCTCGTTGCAGTCCTGGTCTCTCAAATCTGCTGAGGTGTCAGAGATTTTATTGCTCCCTGCAATGGCACGTCTAATACATTGCACCTTGAGCCAGATTGATTAGCTGTCGTCCCAGCTGTGCCCTGGCATTTGGACGAACGCACAAATGGCCTTTTTGGTGCCTAACTAGCCCTTGTATGTGAATGCACCTGGCTTCCCCTCAGCAATTTCATGTGCAAATTACAGGCACTAAGAGTTACACAAGTGTGTGGGCATTATGCATGTGAACCTCTGCCCATAGTCTTTAAAAATCTAGCTGTTTCCCACTGGATTACCAAATGCTGGGATTGGACAACAGGGCGTGGATCACTTGATGATTATCCTGTTCTGTTCATTCCCTCTGAAGCACCTGGCATTGGCCACTGTCGGCAGACAGGATACTGGGCTAGATGAATGGACCATTGATCTGACCCAGTATGGCCACTCTTATGTTCTCATGAACCAATAGTAAACCAGCCTGGATGTAAGTTAGAGATACCTGCAGTGAGGTGTATGGGACCTTTGTGTGCAATCCCTCTCATTCTCAATACTGCTGTGCCATACAGGCAAGAGTAGGCAATGGACAGCTATGTTTTTAGGTCTGTGCAGGGGGAACCGACACAAATCATGGTGGAGCATTGCATGCCGGGACTTTTGGTCTCCATGGGTCACACCTCCTAGCTTAACGTGGAGATTGCCTGCTGGGACCTGGGTCATGCACCCATGTTGACCTGTCTGTGAGGGGTGCTTATATGGCTCCAATCAGAGTAGTGTCTGAGCACCCCAATTTATCTTCCCAACACCCCTGTGAGGTTGGGGAGTAATATGATCTCCACGTTTCACCTGAGGAGCTGAGACACAGAGAGATTGGCCCAAGCAAGACTTTCTCAGAACCAAGAATTGAATCCAGCACCCCCGTGCGTTAACCACAGCCCCATCCTGCATGAAGATGAGGGCCATAGCAGTTTGCTCCATTTTACGCACATTGGTGTTTGGACTGTAAGCTCTGCAAGGATTGTCTTTTGGGTTCTATGCACAGTGGGGTCCTTGTCCCTGACTGGGCTCCTAGGCTCTCCTTTCAATCAAATAAATAATAACAATAACTGATCGTTAGATAAGCCTCACCCTGCTTCTGGCAAATTGCAGTGGTGGTGCTGCTGTGTTGCTCAAAGCCTTGGTGATTTCTGGTTTAAGTGAATTGATCTCACCCACTGAGATGCAGCTGTCAGTAGCACATGTTAGTTTCTGGTCGAAGTAGGGTTTGGGATTGTTTTGTTTTTTGTTTTGCTTTTTGCACATATTTTTCCATTTACAGAAATGTAGACAGAACCTCCGGCTGGATGCCTTAATATGTTAGTTACAATTAAGTGTTTAAATAGATAGCTATTTATCATTTTCCAGCCAGCATAGCTGGCCTCTCTGCAGAGTGGTTAAGAATGAAGTAGCCTTAACAGTTGCTGATGGGAAGGAACAAGACACAGAACTGAGCAGAGGGAAAGGGATAAAGAAATAAAATTGGAAGCTTGGTAAATATTCACTGAGGATGCGGTTTCCCTGAGAGGCTTTTCCGTGGAAACATTTACACGTTTGTGGAACTATATTCATGCTGTTAGTCCCATTTCTGTGAATTCAGCGGGAGCATGCTCTTTGACTGCACACCCCTAACAAACGCATGAGTATCTTCCCTGAGGATGGGAATGCAAATTCAACTGAGAGATGTCTCCGCCTACTAAAATAAGGGATAACACCTTTCTTTCTTTTCTTTCACAGTTCAATGATCCAATGCCTTTGATTTATAATATATAAATCAAATATATATATATATTTGAAGGAGACAAATTCAAGGCTAATGTGCCCAGCATTTGTCTGACCTTCCTTGTTTTGCCTTGGGCCCAAAGCATCTGTGTAAACCTATATCTACTGTGATCTTCTCATGTGCCATGTTGTTTACATCTTGGACTGCTTTGTTCTCTTTGTTGTGGGCTTGTCAGGACGTTTCCATCTATTCCTACCCACATGGGGTTCACGTGCCCCAATGGTCACTTTGTAATTCTTAGATGAAAGGTGCTGACAAAGTGTTATAATTATTATTTTCATCTGGGAAGAGAGGAGGAGCCTTTCCACTCTTGGACCAATAGAAGTTCTACGTTATACACCCACCAACACCCACGTAGAGTTGAGTGAGCAGTCCATTCCAATACTGCTAATCTCTGCCAGGACTGAGGGACAGTAGACAGCAGAGGATACTGGAGCTAGAGAGCCAGAGAAAACTGCGGGGTCCATTTGGGTCCAGATATAGAGAATCCACATTTCATTCATTTACCAGCCCAGACACGATATGTACTTACCCACCTGAATGACACCATTATGGTGCTAGTAGGGGAAACAATGTTGTTTTACTAGGAAGACTTTCCCCAACTGAGTAGAATTTTGCCAGGCTGACACTGAGAATGTCAGCTTGGTGGTTATGGTTTGAATAATACATTTTAATATGTTCTCTTTTCTTTTCTTTCCCAGCAACACCCTTTCTTCACCCAGCACGAATCCAAAGAGACAGACGTGGCTTCTTTTGTAAAACTCATCCTGGGAGACTGAGAAACGGACTTGTACACGATTTGCCTTTCTGTGGACTGGTGGGTTTAGGGGAAAAGGGGTGTGCGGCGGGGCTTGGTCACGAAAGCACCAATAGAAAGTCGCCTTTTAAAAAAAAATTTAAATCCCCGCCTCGCCAATGTTTTTAAAGGGTTCTTTGGTATCCATAGTGACATAGAGTGAACTGGTTAGTGAAATGAATTTTAATAAGGTTGGCACCCTTCAAACAAACAAAATAATTTTTAACAAGGGTGATTGAAATATTTAATGACTGTCAAAATGCCATTCCCTTCCATGCCCCAACCTCCTCAACCCTCTTCCCTTGTTTCTGTCAAATTGCTTTTGTCATGGTAATAGGTGCTATGGTAGTCATGAAGTTGTATGTAGATTTATATTTTGTCCCTTCCATTATTTTAATATTTATGTTAAGTGCTGGATTGAATAGATTTCTGTTTTCTATGAGAATGAACGTGTGATGATGATGACGAAAATGAGGCTACAGCAAGCAATATTTATAGGGCTTTGCTGTGGAAAGGGTTAAAAGGAGAAAAGGAAAGAAAAAAAAAGAGAGAAGAAGCCTGTATGTTGTGGAAAACTATTTAATGTGCATTGTTAAAGAATTTTTAACAAGGATCTTGGTTCAAATGCCGGGGCTACCTCGGAAAACACGCTGAGGGGATTGATAGGATCTCACATGATGTGGGACGCGGTCGGGCACAGGAGAGATTGCTCTGATGACACGTAAAGAGGAAACACAGCTTGGTTCTCATGGTGTTTGCGGTGCATTCCCAGCGCACGGCGTTGCTAAAGCCTCTGGTTCCAGCGGTTTAGACGCGTGTCTGACAGGCAGTGATGTCCTGAGGCAGAAACGTAGTGACTGGGACTAATGCAGGGAGGAAAGGTTCGTTTTAAAGTGCGTGGCAATGTGAAGAGGCAATAGCTGATCCCTCACCTGGCTATGAATTCGGGAGCGTTTCATGGAGAACCTTGCGCTGATGTTAGAGTTCAGATTTTGTGGTGGTTTTGGCCTCGGAAGGGAGTTTTCCTGTCCTCCCTGAACAGAAAGGAACATTATGGATGGCTGGATATCTGCAAAGGGGAAAGCAGGGTCAGAGGATTACGTCCCAGGGTGGGTTTCCAAATTTCCAAGCACTACACAGACAGAAATCCCCTGAATTTACCCACAGTCATTTGAAACGCTAACGAGCTCCGCAGGAACTCCTGCTGGAGTGCAGTTTGATTCACATCCAGGGCCGGTCAGGATGATCGATGCAGCTGTGTGTGTTAGGCTATTGCACACACTGCAGGTGCCCCTCGGAGGGCTTCAGTCCAGGAAAACCCGCAAGGAAACCACAGCTACACCGATCCCAGGAGCTTGTTGCCATTGGACGTGGTCCACAAAGAAAACTGCTAGCCAAGGGAGAAGAACATTGGGGATGTCAGGATGGGAGGGAAAGACAGCATAAGAATGCTGCTCTCGTGTTAACACAGTAACTAGTGCTCTGTAGGGTGAGCAGATGGACCTTAGCTCTGCTCTCGGTGACTCCACTGACTCCGGATTCACTCTGGTGTCACCGAGCAGAACGTGGCCTGATCAGCTTTCCTGACTTGGCTCTTTCACTGCAATCCGGTCTTTGCGCCTTGTCTCCCTTGATCTCTTCCCTCTCACCCTCCCGGCAAGGCAGAATGCATGTGTGCAATGTCTGTCTCCCCGTTCTGTCTTTTAAAAGACACCCGCTCAGCACTATGCCTCTCTGCTGGGAGGGTCACAGACAGAAGCTCCAGATTTGCCGATTTGGGAGCCGAGCCCCATGTCGCTCCAGAACAGCCGGGAAAATTGGTGCTATGCCAGTTAAGAGAGCTCCTTCTCCAGCTTATGTGCTGAGGGCAGCCTTTTCTATTTCATTACGGGAAACAGAAAGCTCCCGCTCTGACCCAGTCTTAGGCCTACCACACCTTTTTTTGCCTTTCTCACCTGTATCAGGGGAACGAAGATCCACTGAGGCAGAGCTAGGGTGGGGAGAGGGAAAGTAATACGAAAATCCACAGCAGCCCTAGCTGAAATCCCTCGAAATCCATTCAGGCCCAGAAAGGAACTGCCCGAAGAGTAGCTCTCACTGCGGCACAAGACTCAGGGCCAAGTTGTGCCTTGTTTCACACACTCCACCAGATCGTCAGCTGGTGGAAATGGGCGTAACTCTGTGGACGAGCCCAAAGCATCCATTTGTGAAGTGATCCAATTCCCCAAGGCTGCATTGTTCCTTTGCAAGGTCAGAGGGGGAGGATGGTAATTTGCATTGCATCTGTCCAGGGCGGGGGTCATTAGTAATTGAAGTGCTTATGGGAGTTCTACCATCTCGTTCACCAGGATCCCATCATTTTGCACCACATACTTGCTACGTCCGTCGTTTGAGGAGACTCTGGAGAGTTCAGAGTTTGGATTGTGGGATAGTTCCCTGGGGGCACAGGGTCCTGAAGAATTAAACTGGTTGCAAAGAATTTGGGTATATCTGTGCTATAATCACAGGGGCTGCCGTTTGAGCAGACGTACCCAAGCAAAGCTAGCTTGGGTCCCGGAGACGTGAAGTGGCAGCAGTGTGAGCTGCAGATTGGGCTAGCCCAATGAATAATTTCCCAGGGTTCCAGGCTGGCTTGCACAGCCTGCTCTGAAAGTCATGCTGCCTCAGTTTCCCTGTCCTAAGCGCTGAGCTAGCTAAATTAGAGCTAGCTTGGGTCTGTCTGCTCGAGCTGCAGACATGCCTAGTGATTACAGCATAGCATTACCCTTTGTGTGAAGAGGTTCCTTGCTCTCCTGCGTCAGCACCCCTTTGTAAGTTTTACCTCTCTCTCACATGATCCCATGGGGAACTTCCAAGGAGATGTTTTGTTGCAGATGAAACACAAGGTTCTTTTACATTTCAGTGTAATTTTAAAGGCCACTGGGGGGCTCATAATCTGCGCCCTGGTTTTCAGCTTTGTGTGTGTCTGTCTTTTCTCTCTCACACTTTCACATAGACTCCGAGCTGTTTTGATTGATTGTCTTCAGATGCAGCAAAAGTCCAGCCAGCCAGCCAGCTTATAGAGTTGGTTCCAGCGTCAATTCTCACTTGAAAAACATAACGTTTAAAAACAGCCTTTGGTTTTCCTGCATATGGATCTGATGCTTTCGTTAAAGATCGGTTTTGCCTTTTTTCTCTTGGAATATAAATCTCATTTGGACACTAAATTCCCTTGACCTCAGAGCACCTTTATTCCAGTGCCATGGTAACTGACGGGTTGAATTTATGGGATACCGTCAAAGATCAGTATTAACAGCAGATATTGATATCCCCAGCATTTTCCAACAGAAAACTGTCAGTGTTGTATGCAGTTAGTAACCCTATAAACGGAATTGTGCATGGCTCAACACTACAGGTCGAATGTTTTCTTTTGTGCTTTTTACTCTTGTGATGTCTGGCTCATCCAAAATCTTCTTGGTTTAATTGCATTATAACAAAACAAGAAAGAAGGACTATTGAAAAGAAACAGTCACCCCATTCCTCTATCTGATGTTCAAAAGCCTGATTCTCTGCTGCCTTTCACCTTGGGTAGGCCCTTGAATCATTGCAGAGTACGTGTAATTTGCCACTGGTGATGTGAGTGGAAAATTCAGATTGAGCAGCATTACACACCCACTTTGCCCAGTATAAATGACCGTGCTAGGTGTGGGTCAGTGGAGAAATTCGAGATTTGCTCCGTATCTCAGCATCCATCTTGGGCAAATATCAAAACAAAGCTTGTAACATCTGGGGATCATTTGAAACCTTTTGAAAGTAGTGTGCCACAGGTCGTCTTGGGGGAAGCATGGCCTAGTGGTCTGAGCACAAGATTGGGAGCCAGGATTCCTTAAACGTTTAGATTACCATTGTGGTGGCTCTTTTACTAACACTGTGGTAGTGGGCAGGTGTGTAATCTCTGCCTCGGTTTCCCCATCTGTAAAAATAGAGATAACAACACCTACCAGGACGGGTGTATTGAGGGTTAATTTTCTGGCTCATGCAGTGAAGGTGAAAAGTGTTCTGTCAGTGGCTTCCCAAGACTCTATTTCTGGACATCACAAGAGTTCCCTCACTCCATCACACACTCAGAAGGAAGGCTAGGGCTGGGGTGGATTTGTTGCTGCTGTTTGTATGGTAGGATTTTGTTTTTTCTGGAGAAGATTTTCCCACGCATCACACAAGACTTTAAACAGAGATCCGTCCTTTCTTTTACCGTGTTCGCTGGTTATTGAGGAGTTGTTCCTAACTCACGCCCACAGGGGCTGGGTTTGTGGTGGTGGAGCGGCTGTGTCTGGAGGCAGGGGGAGCTAGAGAGGGCCTTGCTCAGAAATGGCTCTTTAAATGGGGAAGCACGCACTCCCCCATGTGCCCCGTTGCACATCGGCAGGTGAGGGGGAGGGGTGTAGCCATGCCAGTCCGCCCAGTCGTGCTCTCTTTGGGGTGTACAGTGCTGCTGCCCTACACCTTGTGCTTAAGAAGCTCTGGCTCAGCTAGCTGGTGGCCTTCTGCATGTGGGCACTGGTAACGAAGGAGCTCCCTGCACCCCTTTCCCTCCCCACCTCGCACAGCCATCAAGGGGCAGCCAGAATATGGCCCCAGGCTCTTTGTATTTCACAAGGGCCGCCTATGCTTGCTCCTTCGGCAAAGGTGTCATGCCAACACCACCCTTGTTCCCTTCAGCCCCAGATGATAGGTGGTGTGAAACGGGGATTGTGTCTACACTGTAGATTCCAGCAGAAGGAGGCAGTGGGTGGAGCGGGAGGATCTCCTTGATATGCAGAGGGAGCACACAACAAAGGCATTTACACACACGCAAACATGGCCAGTATTTCTTGCTGTTCGCTTCAGTAGAAGAGTCTGCCTCAAACCTTTCGTAGAAATTGTAGATGGGAAAGACCTGCTAGGCCATCTTATCCATTTCCCTACCAATGCAGCATGGATCCTTGCAGCCCATTCACTAGAGCTTGGTCCAGTGTAGTTATAAAAGTCTCAAGCAGAATGGCTTCTATCACTTCTTGTCCCTGCTGCAAAAAACACGTCAAAATGCTCCTTGTCCTCTCTTCCATCTCATTGATGTCCATCCTCCGTGGACCATGCTTGGTGCTTACACACTTTCAGATGGAGATCATTATCACATCCCTCCTAGGTTAGCGTGCCCCCAAACCAGCTCAAAAATCAGCCCCTTCCAGCCTCTTAATTACATATTTTTGCTTTTCATTGAATTTCCTCCTATTTATTGATATCTTTCAGTTACCGAGCAATTAGTTATATTCAGTTTTGCTGATGGGAGCAGGATCAAGACAAACAGTTGCCTTCACTGGTCTGCTTTTATTGGTGCATGGGGGGAATATTGCAGAATGTTTATTGCTATTAATGGAGTAAAATCTCCTGACCCTAAAAATGGGAAAGAGACTTGTTAGGGCTATAGATTCTCAGCTGGCATAAATTGGTGTCGCTCCATTGATTTAGCTGGAGTGACGCTGATTTACTCCGGCTGAGACTCTGGCCCCTTTTGTATAAACAGCTATTCTACAATAATAAAGTTTAATGAATGGAAATTTCCCCTGGATTCACATAAAGTAGCAAGTTCCACTCATTAATCTTTATTGCCGCATTATGGCTGTTTATGTCTAAGGAATCTTGTCTCCCTGTTGTGCATATGTATTTATATAGTGGGAGGGCTGGGGTGAGAAGTGTATATAAAAGAGACATAACTGACCTGATGTCCACATATTTTATGGTCTGTAACTTCCTCCCCTAGTTGATTGTTTCCTTGAAAGCTGTTAACTGGCAGCAAAGGAGGTGTTACAGAGCTTTGTCTGCACAGTTGGCCTTTTTGCTCCACTATGAAATCCAGATTGTTTCTTGTGAAAAAAGATGAGATCTCCAAATTAATATTTCAGCTCAGCCTTTAGTGGAGCAGGTGGATAATATGGAATATGACGAGTTCTGGCAGGCAAGCGCTCTTGCTCCCCCACACCTCGATGGGAAGAAACAGCTGCTGTTGAGGTCTCCCCAGGAGACAGATGTGTTTCTCTAGTTGAAAGAGCATTTACTAACCCCCTGCGATGCCACGCATTAAAGTCAGTTGATTTCACTTAGGAGAGTGTCTGCCCCTTCCCAGTGGGGTTTTTTTTTATTCCCAAACCTGTTGCCTTTGCATGTTGTCGACTGAGTTTTTATTGTGGGCATGGCAAGGACACCGTTGTATAGGAACTATGGGCAGATGACTGCTGTGCAATGCTTGGTTGCACAAACCCTCTCTAGTAAAAAATATTTCAAGTAGTGGCACAGGAGAAAGAAATCTTCCAGGAAAGTCAAGCAGCAGAATGACCTTCAGCACTGGCAGTCTGAGAAGCGAGAGCTCAGTTATAGTCCTGATGCCTTCCTTTTGCCCATCTCAGATGCTGATGTTGATGCTTTCCTTTGAACACAGAGGAGAGACAAAGTGGCGTTGCGAAATGTGAGCATGTTGAGCAAAGGATTGTTCCTTAGTAGATTTCCCATGGACCTCTGGCTGCTGGGCTGCATAAATGGAATGTAATCTAACAGTGGAAGATGTGTGGGGAGGAGCACAGCCCCTGTATGGCAGCAGGCAGAGGAAATACCAAGGAACTGGCCACAGTGCTGATCCTCCTATTTCCCTTCTGCTCCTGGTGGGAAGCAGAGCATAAGAGCTCACTGAGTATGCCCGTGTAGTACATCCCATATACCATAGGCTGCTACAGGCACTAAGCAGCCCGGGAGGGAAGATAGCTCCTTTCCCGTGTCCGGTGCATCTGCTTAGCACATGGCCCAACTACACAAGTCGTCCCTTTGCAACATCAAAATGTTTTTTATCAAATACCGATTCCTACAGTAGCCCCCTCTTATCTCCCCAAGGCAGTCCCAGTGCAGGCCTTCAAGCAAAGAGCAGCAGAACCTTAAGATCAACTAAAATCCACTCTGATAAATGTGGCTAGGGAGTAGATATGCATAAGAGCACGTATTAGCTGGTAAGGATAAATTATCTGGCAGTGTGTTTCTAGGACATGACTTTGGCAGCAGTACAAAGACAAGAGAGCAAAGGGAAGTTCTACAAAGCCAAGAAATGAGAGGAGACACCTTTTAGGATTGTCTTTGAATATCCTATTACAAGGAATAGATGACTTAAGGTCTATTAGGGAAAGTTCATTCCTCATTGAAGCCAGTGGCGGTCCACCAGAGATGAATTTGACCGTGTGTTATTTTACACCTAGCTGTTATACCTTTACAGTTCTCATCCCAAAGCTGCATGGAAACTATTGGCTACCAATGTCCTCATCTCATTTTTGGCCATCCTTTAAGGCTTGCCCTGTGTTCCTGGGATTTCCGCAGCTTTTTGGGAGGCGGGGGCGTCGCCTGCTGTTGTTTTTAGGATCCTTTTTATTTATTGATTTATTGTTTGTCCAGTGACTCATGATACGGCAGCGAGCCACATTAAATCATGCATGGGCGCATACCTCCGATGGGAGGCTACCACCAGCTGAGAGGTGTACCTGGGGCCCACTAATGCACGCCCCCAGCTTGGCTTGTTGCTATCAGAGTGTCGCTCGATAAAATCTTTTCCAGAAATGGAGCAAGTCTGGATTTACACCAACGGAACAGAGATCTGAATCTGTCACATCCACAGCCATGCTGCAATGTGGACTGTGTTTACTTCCCAGAGGGATTTACAGGTTCCCTAAAGCAATGAGGCAAAACTCCAGGGGTTGAGTGGTTCTATGAGGATAAGCAGGCAGAAGCTCAGAAGCTTCTAAAGTCCTCTGGAAGTAGTGATGGAAATCTCACAAGATCAGATGTCATTTGAAGATTTCCAATACATTGTGGGTTTGGCCGGAGCAGAACAACCTTCTTATAGCTTCTCTGATGATATTTTGATATGTTACTTCCACTTCTGGGCCCAGCCAAACCCAATAAGGACAGAATTGTGGAATTTTTAAATAGAAGGGGGGGAAAAGTGAACCAAGTTTTTTTTTAACTTGGTTGTAAAATGTCTTTTTGGTGCGCACTATAGGAAAGATTCAGGCCAGTTCTGATTATATCTCCTCCCTAATTCTTCACCTTTAGAAGGTGATAGTGGTCTTGAGTCTCACTTACACTAAGGTGCCTCCGCTTTGCCAGAACAGTGTAAAGGAGCTTTAAGGTAAATGCGATTTGGGCATTCAATCCTTTTGAAACTGGGTGGCCCCTGATTTAGTTCAGTCTCAGTGCTAGATTCTGTGATATGACTGTCCAGGTGTATTCTCTGCTCGCGTGTACGCAGAAGTGACACACACCAATTTGTGCTAGAAGACAACGTGAGATAAGGACTAGAGTACAACTTTTGGCCACGGTGTGGTGGTGAGAGCAGCCATCTTAGAATTAGGTTGGTAAATTCTTTGACCTGTCCTATGCAGGAGAGCAGACTAAATGATCACAGTGGTCCCTTCTGGCCTAGTGATCTATGAGCAACTGGGCCCTGCAGCCTCAGGGTGAAATGACTTGTGCCATCTCATTCTTCATACTGAATCCATGAGGAAAAGCCCAGGTTTCTGCCGAGTGCTTCACTCCTTCCAATGACTGAGAGAGGAACAGGAGCATTGACTGCACTTTTGAAGTACAGATGTGCCGTATAACTAACACTTGGCCCGTCGCTTGTATCGCACAGAGTATTAATGAAGGATAAGCTGCTACAGATTCAGGTTGTTGTACATATAGGTATATTTGTGAGGAAGGAGGGTGAGGAATTAGTCCTAACTGAAGGGAAGAGGTTTTGAAACAGGCTCTCAGAACAGCGGGCAGATGGGCTGTTGTCTAAGGCTCAGAACCTCAGCTGATGTACATCACCATTGCTCTGTTGATTTCAGTGACGCTACAATGTCTGAGGTCAGCGGAAGATCTGGGCACTGGACTGTCGTTTGGTTTTTGTGCGGTAGTTCTGCCTCAGTAGAGTGCATTTTCCTTGACTTAGCCAGTCCAGCCTTTTACTTACACATTTTTCTGTTACACTGGCAGATGAATTTTGAAGTATTGTAAATACCAAAGGATGGGAACATTACGTTTCTTTCCTCAGGTAAGAGTGGTATTTTTTTCAACTAAAAGAACATTCAGCCATCCCTGAATTTGCAGGAACAGTCTCTTAAAGTTTTTAGTCCTTCTCAGTCCAGTCGTGTATTTTGTTTAAGAAGAATACTGTGAAAAGATAGGAAGTACTAGATGTGAGAGGTGTATTAAGGAGGTACATTAAGGGTCTACTATGAGCTGGCAGAGGGCAGCAGAAGAGTTAAGAAGTTACCTGCTGCTCATGGGGTAAACTGAAATAAACTGCAGTCAGAATCATAGCTATTTAATCAGGATGTAATTCTGCTGTAATGTACTCTGGTGTAAATGCAGAACTCTCCATCCAACACAGAGCACTCACTCCAGATTTAGACCCTAATTCTATCGGAGTACATTAATGTCAATGGCAGTAGAATGTGGCACAAATTGTTTTGGATATATCCTACCATAGCTAATGAATTTTCAAAGCTATGTCACCTTTTCATTATCTCTGAAGCTGTGAATCATGTGAATGGTGTTTGCGGTGACAACTGCCATTGTACTGATCAAGGTTGGCTGAAATATTCACAGCAACATCTTGAAAATCTTGAAACTTTGCATTTCACTTCCGTTTGGTGAAATTAAATTAACTTTGACAAAAAGCTGCTAAATTTTGTTTCTTGCAAGTTAGGAATAAACATGAACCCTTATCAAGGGGGAAAAAACCTAGAAATGACTGAAACTTTGAAATCAAGTGGTTTAAAAAAATTGGCCAAGATTGATTGATTGATTGATTGATTTTTTTGGCATCGAAACAAATGAAGTTTCCAAATTTGCAGCATTACAATCTTCTCTTTCCTGGGGTAGTGGGAATTTTTGTAAAAAGCAAAAATGTCTTGCGATGAAATTTCTAGAATCAGATAGTAGAAAAACCAGTGGAACACCAGTTGCATTGCAAATGGGCACATGTAAAGCAGCGTCTCCTGCTTTTCCATACGTTGAAGTGGAAACTACTCTCTCTTATTATTTATTCATTTGTGGTAGCACCCAAAATGTACTAAAGAAAGCCATTGTCCCTGTCCCCATATGCTTACCTACCTTGTCTTTCTTTGTTATCCTCTGAGTGTTGAAATGGCAAATGTCTATTGCTGGCTAATTAGTATTTTATGTTATATTTCAGAGTAGCAGCCGTGTTAGTCTGTATTTGCAAAAAGAAAAGGAGGATTTGTGGCACCTTAGAGACTAACAAATTTATTTGAGCATAAGCTTTCGTGAGCTACAGCTCACTTCATCAGATGAATGTAGCTCACGAAAGCTTATGCTCAAATAAATTTGTTAGTCTCTAAGGTGCCACAAATCCTCCTTTTCTTTATTATATTTGTTACAGTTTGAAATTTAACTTGTTCCGCCCTGTAATTAGACGTAGGAATAAGAATTTTTTTTTTTTACACCTTTTAGTTGAAGGTCCTGGAAGTTTCGAATTAGATCTTGCAGCCAAAATTAAAACAATAGTAACACTAGATGAGGGAGAGTTCCAATTTGGGTGTAACAGTGACTTCAAAAACAGATTGACTGAGTTTAAGGTTCATGGAGTCAGTAAATTCCGAGAGTATCGCAGTGTGATTAACCAAAACGGCCACTGGCAATTGCAAGGAAAGACCTTTTAAATTTTTTTTTAAATGCCTGTAATTCTCCACCTGAAAAATAAAATCTGTGATTTGCCATGGATTAAAGACGTTTGGTTGTCTAAGTCTTTGCTTGACTTGGTCGCTCCATCCCTTTATATGTCAAATTTGCATGGAGCATTTCAGTCTTTCTTTAACTCTTGGCCAGTCAGATAGTCACTGGATGTCAATCAAAGGTTATGATTATTGTGTTATGAGGTCATAGACCACCCATGGACTTGGAGGGCCAAATTCTGCCCTTGGATATGCATGACACAACTTCCATTGATATCAGCAGACATAGCACACACATTCCAAAGGCAGAATATAGCCACCAACACCTCTTGCACCGTGTCCTTGGAATACTCCGTGGCAAGGATCTGCTGCTAGAACCAGGCTGTAATAGTTAATCCTATTCTGAATTGAGAGGTAGTGGGTGACTTTTTCGGGCTTGATTCTGCAAGCCGTCCCAGGAGTAGACCCACTGCAATCAGCAGCTATTAAATCAGTAAGCCCTGTGGCCTGGTAGGGTCAAACATGCACCCGCTTACATTCCTCATGTGTTATACAGAGGACAGAACACGTATGCGGTCTTTGGATGATGAAATGGTAGAGTAACTAGTGGAGGGCTCATTCCTGCTCTTCAACAAAATTCCCTGTGAAGTCAGAGCAAGTCTTGTTCTTTATATTTCCCTCCTGCCATTTGTAAAGGTGCCTTTCTCTTTTGCTGGTATGAAAACGTCACTGGCCCTTCTGCCAAGAGAAGTCTCTGCATCTCTTTTAATTTTTTGTGTTGGTTTTTCTGTGAACAAATGTTGGGAAGTGGGTTGCAGAATATGGAACTCATTAGAAGTAAGGATCACAGAAGGACGTGGGTCTAAATGTTTTCATGCATCTGAAGCGAATTTTAAGGAAATGTCTGTCCACAATTTACTTTCTGCTTTTCCAATACCGTTTGGGAGAAAATGGAGTTATCAAAGCAGGTAATAAACTTTGCAGCTTTCTGCTTCAAAATGCACAAGTAACCTGTCTTGAAAGTGAATACAATAGCTGCACTAAGCCAGAAGAGAGTGTGTGTATGTGGATAGGGGAGGTTAAATCTGCCATTTAGGAGATTTTTAAAACAGTATGAGAGATTAAAAATAAATGTAAAATATTTATTTATCGGCGAAAGTACATCAAACTGCATTTTCATCCATCTTTTCATTGCTTTATGTTTGTTTTATTTAACAAGTCTTTGCCTGCCTGTTTCCCCTGCAGTGTGTTTTCCCACTGCTGCTCACCAGTTCCTAACCTCAGAGGCCCTTATAAGAATACATGAGCTGGTAACATAGGCTATATGACGAAGACCTAAATTCTGTGGCTGATCCAAAGCTCTTATGTCAAGATAGATGAAAATGGTTGAAAATGACATTGAAATGTATTGAAAAGCTGGGCAATTTGGCTAGGAAAGCTTTTGTTTCATTTCCTTGCATCGGCTAGGTAGCTCTTCCCTCCTGAAAAACAAAACAACCCAAACCATAATGTAGGGCCCTGATCTAATTGCTGTTGTCTTTTGTGGGAGTTGGATTAGACTGAGATATTGCAAGTGTTCAAGTGTTTTCCAGGCAATCATGTACATCTTCATGCCGTATTGTATTTCTCTTCTGTGTATGATCTGCCACAGCCAGTTACTGTGAACAAGTGTTAGAGATATGGTTTGCAAAAAAAAAGCTGCCAGATTTGGGCCATGTGCCTATTAATGAGAATTCACCGTCATAAAGATTCCTCCAAACTTCTGCTTTAAGAGTATTTTAAAGTAAAAGTCCTCCTAGCGCGTGCATGTTTGTTTCATCCCAAACTGTGGGGTTCCTTGAATTAGGAAGATGATCAACAGTCAGAAGCTGACATTAGAGCCAGCTGTGTGAAAATGTGTGTGCTGTAATTTAATATTGTGTATGTGTATGTGTGTGTGTGTTTTTTTTTTAAATTAAACAATTTACGAATCAGCGTTCTATTGGATTGAGGACATGGGTGAAATATTGGAACAGGTGTTCTTTACATCACTACTGTCTGTCCTTCCCCCCCATCCCTATCCTGACACTTCAACAAATTAAAATGGGAGATTATATTTTTACTTGAAAAAAACTGGTAGCGGGAGAGGAACTCTACTACCCTCTGGTCTTATTTCTCAGGATATTCATAGGGTTAATACTGCTGCTGAGAGAAGTGGGGAATAAATACCTTTTTGAAACTTCAACCACTGTAACCATTGTCCAGCCATGTGTTTGCTAAACTTGGCACTGTGTGTACGTGTTCTGCTCAGTGTTGTGTTCAACCATCAAATGATTCAGACAACTGCTTGGAAGGAAAAAACAAAACAACAATAACCTCTTTGCTGAGACTTTTCATAACCACGCGTGAACTGGTGGTATGGGATTAAATATTCAAAGAACCGGGCTTCTTTATAACAATGGTATGTCAGTCGAGTTCAGAAAATGTACAAAAGAATAAAGGAAATTTTTAAAAGGTGCTGTCTATATGTATTAATCGGGGGGAAAACACCTGTAGGGCATACTTACAGTAGCTATTGTGGACATTTTCAGTATTGCTTTTGTCATATATACCGGATAGTGACAGGATCCACTTGGGTCAAAAATCATATTACAAGTTACTCCTAATAATTTATTATAGATTATTAAAATCCCCAGAAGAATGTTAAAACTCTAATATATTTGTTCACCGATTCTGCTGTTCGTTTTCACTATTCAAGCTGAGTGAAGTTTAGAAAGGAAAGGGACAACTCGGATTCCCTTCCGATTCAAGTCTGTTTGCAATCAGCCCCACTTTCTGACTCTCACATGCTACCCCACCGTTGCAATGTTTAACTGAGAGGCTTTTGGGTTAGCAGACGGGGGCACTGGATTAGCAGTCAGGAGACCTGTAGTAAATCCCACTCCTAACACAGCTGCATAGCACCATTGAATTTCCTAGGGTTTAGGAAAAGAAAGAAGAAACAGCTACTTCCTAGAGGCATTTGGGACAGGGACTGTCTTTCTGTGAAGTGTCTATACTGCACCTAGCATAATGGAGTCCTGGTCCATGACTGGAGCTTTTAGGTGCTACTGCGCTTATAGCTACAACTACTAATAGTAAATATCAGTGACTGCAATGCACCTCCACCCCCTAGAAACAGCTGGAGAGTGGAACTTCTAGGAACTTCTGGCCACATACCCAGAGCCATTTAAATTACTTTGCTCCACACCCTCGTGATCGATCGCTGAGAACTTTCAGGATCCAAAATGTCCTTCCGATTGTGAGGTAGTCAAGCTGTCACTAGTTGTATAGCTGTTTGCAGACTGGTGAGACTTGAATGAGATGAATAAAATAAAAGGCCTCTCCGTCACAAAGGGGTCAAGAAACAAACACATTGGCAATGAGTGGAAGTTATTAAAATGAATGGAGAGATGTGCTGGGCATGTTTTCTCACTAGATTACCAAGTTCTGTCTCACAAAGCTAGAAAACTTCTTCAGATTCCAGTATTCAGAAGGACACCACTCTGTGATATGAGCAATGGAAAATACCATTCATCAAAAAGAGGTCCCCCACTGTCACAGAATTCAGAGCAGGATGTAACTTCCATTCTTCTTTGAATGCTGGCCCTTATGTGTATTCCACAAGTGGCTATGCATGCACACCGTGCGCCTGAGTTCAGCCATTTCTGGCAAGTCATGTCCGTTGGTCCGCATGTGCTCAGGTCTCCTCATGCTCCAAAACGAGGTCACAAGGGGTGGAGAGGACCGGCACCTCTCCAGTTCCATCTTACTGCTGCATGGCACCGTGTAGTTCCCATTTTTAAATGGGGATTGCATTCATCTTTTTAACTCTCTATATTATTTTAACTCTATTTCCTCCATGAATGCCTGGCAGTTTGCATAAGCTGAGGATCTGGTCCTATGGATTTATAATATGGGGTAACAGAACCACAGTTCTTTCTTAGAGCTCTCATGTATTCTTCTTCCCTCCAAAAACTTCTCAAGCAAACTCATACCACAGTTAGCCCCAGCTCCAGCAGCTTCTAATCCCTTTTAGCAGTTTTTCTTTTCTTTTCCCATTTAGGTTTACTAATCATGGGATAAGAGTAATATTTTCCTCCAAAATGCAAACATTCCAAATCAAACATCCAAAAATTCCGCTTTCACTGCATCATGCCACAGGATATGCTGCAGGCTAACTTTGCTTCTTCCAACAATCCTTCAGTGGCCTTTGGAAAATTTAGCAATGACAACTTGAATTTGTGAACTAATTTATATTGACTCGTTTGAATGTTACTGCCTACATTGCCAAAAAAAGACCCTCTCAAAGTTGGCTCCAGTTGTTTATGCTCCCTACAATTACCTCGAACATTTTCAGTAATAAAGCTGAAACTGTTATTTTTTTAAAACAAATTCACCACACTTTTGGGTCAAATTCATACTCGCTAGTTTTTGATTAGAGCTGCATAACTTACAATGAAAGCAACGAAGTGCTGTGTTTCATAGAAACACGTTGCAGTCTCTATAGATGGCATTTGTTCATTTCACGAATGACAGAGATCTGTTTTTGGTTTGA